AAAAAAAACATAAAAATTACATTACAATGCTTTACTCGGAGGTGTATATAATTCTTAATCATACTCTGCTCCCAAAACAACCGTTTAAAACAGAAATGTTGGGACTAAATTTAGTCCAAAAGTTAAATTAATTTAGGTACAAGATGGGTCAAGTTACAAGCTTCTCCCTTACATTCATTGTAATATTGCTTTAAAAACCATCGCTATATGCATATGTACGTAATTGTCTTGCCTGACGGGAAAATGTCTTCCTGGACATGTAACATCGGATATGTCAGACAGTCGTCGAATTTGCGTATGTGGAAGAGAACGAGGCAAAGAACCCGTAATTATCACAATAACAACATGTAAAAAACACCACAGTGTTAAAACAGAGGGTGGATCAGTTTGCGTTTCTCCACCAACCGATGAACTGTTGTCAGAACTAGCAAAAACTACTAAACAACAAACAGGTCATTCTTCTGAGGACATCAAAAATCAACCAGTAACTGAAAGGTTTCAACCACTTGAAGGCGAAGCTATAGATCAACAAAACGCCGAAGGCGTTAAAAAAGAGGAACAAACAGGTTCTGATCTTACCGAAGAAATTGAACAAAAACCTGAAGACCAACCACCAGTGAGTGATGAAAGTGAATCGAGCACTAAACTCGTTGATACGAACCTTATGCCTCGACAAATGTCCATAGATGTAAAAGAAGGTGAAGATACTGCCAAAGATGCAGCGATAAACTCTGATCTTCCATCAGTGAAAGCTGAAAGTGAAACGCAAGCTACTGAACCTGCAAAAGGAACCGAAGACGAACCAAATAGTCAGGAAACTGTAGAAGAAGGAGAGCTACCGGAGAGTGAAGAAACTAAAAGAAAATCTGCTGAATCTGTTGTTGGTCGGCAAATGTCCACAGATGGAAACAATGAATTAGCCACAAGTTCACATACTGTTGAAGATACGGACAACAAATCAGATGATCAGCCAGTGAGCAATGAAAGCGAAACGCAAACTACTGAGACTGCTCAGCTAACTATTCAACCAACAGATGAATCAATTGAAAATGAACCCGCTCAAGAGCTGTCCATAATTGATACAGAATCAAATGTTCACGTTAAAGAATTGAATGGAAGTGAAGAAACGGACAACGATGAAGGAACAGAAAAAGAACAACCGGAAACTGAAAATGACGCGAAACCAAATATCGTAGAAAATGAACAGCTAGAAGGAGATGGAAATCAAAAAATACATGAGGAAAGCGAACTGATTGCGACTAGAGATGTAGAATCGCACAGCAAAACTTTAGACACCATCGAAGAAGAAAAGTATATAGAAAATGCAGAAGACGATGATATGAAAAAGTCCAGCAATATTTTGCAGCAATCACTGAATCAAATAGAAGAACCGCCAGGTACTGGAGGTGTGGAAACTACTGGTATAAAACCAGATGAACAGCCGGCAGAAGAAATAGCATTGCAGGACGAAAATGAAAATAAATCAGCGAATACTTCCAGTCCGTTTGAAAATGCAAATCCATCTAATGAACGAAATAACGAAAACCATTCCAGTACAGAAACCAAATTCTTAAATAATGAAGAAATTATTGAGAATGCCAGTTTCAATAATGATAATGAACCGCAAAATAGTGAAATTTTGGTCCAATCAAGCACAGAATCTGAAAACCGGCAAGAGGAAACTGAATCAGCTAGAACTGAAACCGAGAATAGCAATAAACAGACGGGGATTGAAAATTCAGCAAATGAACTAACCACAACTAGTGCTGAAGCAGTAGCAATAAGCACAAATCGAACAGCAGAAACGGTTACTCAGGATGTAGGTTCTTCACTAGAAACGAAAATGATTGAAAATGAAGAATTTTCTAACGAAACACACAACATCGATCCAGTATTAGTCGAAAGTATACTGCCCGCAGAATCTTCATCCATCAAGATACTGAAAAATGAATCCGCTCGCTACTTAGATGAGGAAAATGAGTCTATAAAGCAAAACGCAGATTATCAAAGTGCTGAATCACTAGATGTCGAAACCTCAGAAGAAAAATCCGCAAAAATTTCAAATGAGCTTATGAAGCAGTCAGACATTAATACAAGCGGAGGAATAGAAGAAAGCAAGAGCAAACAAGCTGCTGATGGACAACCATCAGAAGTTGATGCTGAAATCAATGAAACTATCGAAAATTTACAGAATGCGTCAGTGGATCAAGCTATAACTGATCAAGAATCAAATGTAATACAGGTTCAGTCATTAGAAGCAACTGAGGACTTAGAAAAAAACGACTCGGTAGAAAATGGTCAACAAGCAGAACCAAGTAACATTGAGGAATTAGAAACAAAGATTCTTGACGCAAACAACGCATTGGGAAGTGATTTGCCAGCTCCTTTAGGAAGTGGCATTCATGATGGTTCGAAAGTTATGCTGTCTGGAAGTCTGGATGTTGAGGACAAATCTGCAGAAAATGGAAGAAACACTGTTGCTTCCTCAGTGGAACATGCTCTAGAAGATACATCTAATATTATAGACAGTGAAGATTCTTCAGTTGACAGACAGCAAGAAAGTGAAACACTTCAGAATACTGTAAATGGTGAAAACGATCCTAGAAGAGTAGAAAATGGAAGTAGCACAAGTAAACGTGATTCCTATGATGCTGTAAGTATCGTAATTCATGGCACAGTTATTTAGGAATTTAATTTCTATTAAATTATTTTAGATCAATAAAAACAACCCGGCTATAATAATGCGTACAGAGACGGCAATGAATACTGTGATGCCTAATTTTGATCGCCTGTTTTGGGATATCATTTTACCAATTTCTAAATCCAGGTGTTAAATGCTTTGTTCATTTAAATAATGCTGAGTAATCCTTTATTTTTTGTTTTTTAAACCATAGGCGTTTGGTGGAGAGAGCAAAAGCAGAAATTGCACACACAAAAATATCGTTAGCTTCTAAAGAGGCAAATTATAATGGCACATCAACAATTTTGGCTGAAAGAAATGTGAAAAATCTCGAAGATTTGCTAAGATCAATTGAATACTGCACGGAGAATCAGCAAGTCGGTCAATACTTAAATGAGCAAGACATCCTGAATTTAGAAAAATATAAGGACACATGTGAACAAACATCAAGTTCTCATATGTGTGAAATGTACTCCCAAATCATCACAAGCGAGCAAGGATTGCAAGTGGGAACCAGCTATATTTTCAATAGAAAGAACACGAAATGGTATGAAGGATTGCTGATATGTTTCGGAATCAAAGCTAGTGATAGCGTCTATGATATTGGAAATCTAAACGATGACTTGGTAGTGAACAACAAGTCTTCTTATATTGTGACAAAGTACCTGAGAATTTGATTATTAAACTTGAAATGAGAATTTTGTTGAAACTAGCGTGTGTGTGAAAACACTTTTCTATTGTAAATTAAGATTATAACGTGTTTTGAACCGAGCGAATTTACAATAATAGATTGTAAGTAAGCAGATTTCGTCAGAGACAAGGTACGGAATGTTTGAATTCAAACAACAATTTTTCAATATCGCCCCAAATTTATTGACTTATAAATAATTCAGTAGAAAAAATAAACCATATCCATTGAATTAAATTAGATGAGGGTATAACTGAACATAAAACGATTCTGAAAAATCTACTAAATAATTTAATCGTCCATGTTAATGTTAACTTTACAATCGGGCAGTATCTTTTACTATGATATCAAACAAAGATAAAAGCAATTAATAACAAAATTTTATCGCAATCCTCGTCAAACTAAAAACAGTCAGTTTCCTATCAACTATAAAAATTTTACAAATCGAGTTTCGAGTGTTTCAACAGATGTACGTAGTTTCACTCTTATTGGAGACAATCCATAATAGCCTTCATGTCAAATTTAAAATTATCCCACGAAGGAGCCGAAAATTCTCTAGTTGCCGATTTAGCAGATTCTGCAAATAGCTGCCTTTTGCTATGCTTTTTATCACGTTTCTTAACTTCCTCAGCCTTTGTGCTGCTCTTAGCTTTGCTCTTGCTGCCTGCAGATTCGATTTCAGATTTCTGTCGATATTTTTTTGACGATCCTTGATTATTGCAGATCATTTTCAGCCGCTTGACAAACGGCAGTACCATGAAAAAAGCGTTTGGACCAACACCGATTTTCACTTTCGGTGTGAAGTCTTTCTTGTTATTTGGCAAATCCGCCACTGCAAACCAGTTACAAGCTTTAATCTCGCAACGCGTTCGCGGCTTGAATTCTGTTGAACGGGGTATATTTTTTATCACATATAATCGAGCCAACTGGTCGTTTACAACTGATTCGAGATAGTCATTTGGGTTTATGTGAGGGCTTATATCGAATCCGGTTTCTTCTAGGACTTCTCGAATAGCGCAATGTGCTGGGTCTTCAGCTTCATTTACCTTTCCTTAAAATATGATCAGTATTAAAGCAAAAACTGCTATCGCAAATTGTTAATTTAGATCATAAGTGAATGGTGAAGTTTCTTGAAAAGACATTCGCTATTAGTATTTGTTATATTAGTTTAAATAAATTCAAAATATGATATACGTTTAAAGTTAGCGAACGATAATTTTGATATGTTGAGAAGAAACTCACACACGATCGTTTATTGAATTCTACCTTTTGGAAAACTCCAGGATGTCTTCGCCCAGTAACTTTGAACGAGTAAGACATGGCTTAAGCCTTCAGAGAGAATAATTGCCCCATATGTGGGAACACTCATTTTATACTCTTTCCATTCCTCTAAAATTTCACTGAGCCTGGGTATTTCAGACTTCAGAGATGGAATGTGCTTAAATTACAATTGATTTTAATAATCTTGAAATGTATTGCGCTGCTTAAGCGCAGCAATTCAGCCAAAAAACAGTGTTTACCTGAAAAGCATGTGCAGCAAATTCATACATGCTGCAGCTTTTACATCGTTCATCAGTGCCTACGTAAAAGTCTAAATAAAACCAATGAGCCAGTTCGATTTGGAAGCAAATACGTATCAAATTTTCTTTGGCTGCCTCAGGAACCAGTATAATAAACCTCCTGAATTGCAAAAAACCGGTGTACTGTTATTGCATGTAACTTTATTATATTCTTCTTGTGATGGTAACGAAAAAGCAATAGGCACTTACGTTAACACATCGTTGAGAATATCAAAGGGAATGGTGTGTTCTACGGTTCTGGTTTCTTGAGACATTTTGGTTTCTGTGATTGTAACAACTTTTCAAATAAATTGCCTTATTTCAACCATTCCACTAAAATGGGAATCAAAACAGTTTAAATAACCTTAAATAACAGTACAGACATGATTTCTGACAGACAGAAATGAAGTTCGAAGCAAGACAGTGCTGACAAAGTTCCGAAACTTCCAAGAAAAATGTAAAATAAATCCACTATAAAGTGATAAAATGTTTCATATTTTCTGGTTGGAATGGTTTGATAATTCAGTTACAAGTTTTGTAAATAAGAATTTCAGAGAGTTGTAATTAAACCCATTAGCTTGACTAAAAGCTTAGAAAGTGAAAGGTAGGTTGTGTGCCCCTCAGCAATAAATTTCATTTACTAAGTTTTCAAGTGATTGGACGAATCTGATGCAATCTCAATCTGACATTACTCTAACCTAAAATTTTTCCAAAGATAATTGGCCTGGTGGTGTCATCAAAAAAATTGCCATACTTTTTGAAAAAATTACTATTTCAATCTGGAAACGATGTCTGGTGATAAAGTAAATTCCGTTGATGGTGTGTCAGTTCAGGCAAACCATGTTGAAAAACCCACTCAGTTGAAAGGGGACGATGACCAGGTGGATCCATGGAATGTAGTGAGCAAATCTGATACAGGAGTTGATTATGATAAATTAATACGTAAGTACTAAAAGAACAAGAATTCTCTAAAACGAAAGATCAACATACGAAAAAACAACGTACTGCTATGAATGGCAAGCTGTTGAACTGAAAGGTTTAGTGGGTTTTATGTGTGCTAATTTTTTTGGGAGTAATTAAAAGTCGAGGCAGTTTCTATCAAGGCTTTATAGAATAGATATCTCGTAAGCAGTATACAGCTTTCCATCTACCGCATCCCAATTTTCAAAGCTTCTTCTGCATAGCTTCTTTTATTGCCTTTTCCCAACTCTTTCTTGGTCTTCCTTTCTAAGTTCTATTGGCAGGTTTTCATTTCCAAATTTTTTGTGGTATTCTGGTTTTGCCGTCTTCACAACTTCATGCTCCATAATTTACTCTTCTCCCTATCCGCCAATTGCTTACCATATATTATGTCTTGCAAGCAAGTAAGTGATGTTAAGAAAGTAAGGTCACTCGTACAAACATGGTTCTTAATAGTTAAAACTCGCCAGTTTCAAGCAGTGACCGCGAAAGTCTAACTCTTGATTGTACATGATAGGGCCTATTTTGTGAGACTCTTAGAATGGAGACACAAAATTGGATTTACTTCAGAACTATTTTGAACTGAACAAATTCTGAACCAGAAGAGGCGACACTAATAAAGTTCGCTTTAAATAAGTTAGTAGTATGTAGTTTGAAAATGTTCTAAAATATGCCACTTACGTATATGAGCTCAATATTTAAGGACATTAATTGAGTAAATCACGAAAAATTACTTGGTAACAAGTTACAAAGTGTTAGCTCGAAAGTCTAGTCTGCATTTATAAATTGGCCTTTCAGAAAGATTTGGAAGTTCAAAAATCGATGAGGAACTTTTGACACGTTTTGAGAAAGTGACTGGCAAGCCAGTGCATCATCTGTTAAGGAGAGGATTTTTTTTCTCACATAGAGACATGCATTCGATTCTAACAAGGTGAGAAACTACTCTTATTAAACACTACTTTAGTTTGGGAATAGAAATAGTATATACCTTCCAATATTTTAACAGTTTTTTACCATTAAATAGTGTACGTTTTAGTGCCTGTTTGTTTAATACGTGTATATTGAAACTATCAAAATAGCGTCTTAGGGAATAGGAAAACGATTACACTTTGGGTATGAAAATGATATTTCGATTATTCAGGTCAAAAGAAAGACAAACAGCGAATTAAAACAACTGGATAAATGAATATCAAATTACCGACAAGCGATCCTGTTCATATAAATTATACACAAGTATTAAAATCGAAGTATTTGAAAATTGCAGATATGAACAAGGCAAACCTTTCTACTTGTACACAGGCCGAGGGCCTTCATCGTCCTCGATGCATTTAGGCCATTTAATTCCATTTACTCTTTGCAAATGGTTACAAGATGTTTTTAATTGCCCTCTGGTCATTCAATTAACTGACGATGAGAAAACGTTATGGAAAGATCTGACTGTTGAGGAAGCATATAAGATGGCTCTTGAAAATGCCAAAGATATTATTGCTTGTGGCTTTGACATTAACAAAACATTCATTTTTTCGGATTTTACGTATATTGGGTAAGTTTCACTTGTGTTGATTTATATCATTATTTACCTTTTAGTTATAAATCACACAATCTTCATATAATCAAGATTTCAATTCACTTCGGAGACCAAAATACTGTTACGATATTAATTCCGGTATAGATGGATTTTTTGTATTTACAGACAGCGACCTGAGTTCTACCGTAATATGATTCGCATTCAAAAGTGTGTTACTTTCAATCAAGTGAAAGGTATTTTCGGATTTGACGATAGTACTGTGATTGGAAAAATTGCTTTTCCGGCTGTTCAAGCCACTCCTGCTCTGTCCACATCATTTCCCGATATATTCGGCACTAAGAAGATTCCGTGTTTAATACCGTGTGCTATTGACCAAGACCCATATTTTCGGATGACCCGAGATGTTTGTCCTAGGATTGGTAAGTCCTTATAATAAAAAAAAAACAGTAAAAGCACAGTATTAATCAAAAAGTATAAAAAACTAAAATATAGAAGACTACAAGATGCAAACTACAAACATTTTATAGGTTTCGATAAACCGGCTTTACTTCATTCCAAATTCTTCCCGGCACTTCAAGGGGCAAAGACAAAAATGTCTGCATCGGAAGCAAATAGTACCATTTTCATGAATGATACTCCAAAGCAACTGAAAAATAAAATCAACAAACACGCATTTTCTGGCGGGCAGACGACAGTTGAAGAACATCGGAAAATCGGCGGAAACTGTGATATAGACATATCCTATCAGTATTTAAGGTAAGACCTTTCTATTTAGTTATCTTGTTTTTTTAGGAAAATTACCTTTGAACGCACGTATGTTCAACGAAATTTATCCTTGTTTTATGTGATGTTTTGCAGTTTCTTACCTTTCTCAAACTGTTGTGCAGCAGTTTCGATAAAAATAATGTTCTTATAATAAAATTAGTTTTATTGTTGTAGGTTTTTCTTGCATGACGATGAGAAGCTTGAGGAAATAAAGGAGAATTACACCAGCGGCAAGTTGTTAACGGGCGAGCTTAAAAAGTTCCTCATCGATGTTTTAACACCGGTATTAACAAAGCATCAAGAAATTCGATCTCAGGTTACTGACGACACTTTACAAACCTTTATGACACCCAGGAAATTGTGCTGATACAGATTAACAGCAAGTATTTGATTCATTACTATTGCGGATGTAAATTTTCTATTCTGCGTTATTTCACAATAATTAAGTGTAGTGATGCACTAAACTTAATTATCGTAAATTAACATAATTAACTTTGATTGCAAAATGGGATTCACAGAGTCAGTTTGTAGGTGTCTTCACTTACTTACAGATGCAAATGGACTATTTATTGAGTATTTATTTGTATTTATATTTGGTGATAAATAGCTATCTTTGTTTCATAGTCGATTTTTTATAATTCATTCGATTCAATAACAAATGTATGGTGCAAGCTTGATAATAAAACCAATTTTGCTTTCTACAGGGCAACGTGTTTATGACGCAAATTTTCAATATTACGCATGTTAGAGTTAAAATAAATCCGATTCAATCAGTGGCAGTAAAAGAATATTTATTCAATTTCAGTAATACATATTCCAACATTGATCAATTTAAAAAAATCTTAAAAATCGATTTATATTCCTAACAAAAAGTCCAGTCATTTCAATATCAATTTAATAACTCTAATAAAAAAAACCTAAACTAACAAGTAAGTTTAAGTATCACAATGAAATTTGTAAATCTTATGAATCAGCTTTCCATTTTTGATTTGCTTCTCTCTTAGTGTCGGGCATCAGCTGATTCTGCACCCCCATAAGTAAGTTATTAGTTGCCCCTGTGGCAATAATGCAAGGTTTTATTAACATGGTGGGTGGAATTTGACGAAAAACGGCACCCACAGCACCACTTATTCCCTTTTGATCTTTTTCTGAGGCTACTACTTGCAATATATTATTTGCAGTTTCCCCAATGCCCTAGAAAAAAATTATTATCCAATAATACACATTTTGGATGTGGTGATTTTTCACGCCGCGGTAAATTAATAATTAATTACTAAATTAACCAAAAACTTTTGTATTTTCGATTAATAACAAGACCAAACAGATCTTTTTATTTTTTGGCTGAGTATTTTTGTTGGTAAAATCTTATTTACCTAACTCGTTATTGAACGTGCATTTAATTAGGGGACCGTTAACATTTAAACTGATTTTTTTTGTGTACACGAAAATTAATCACGCCTTGAATTTGAAGTCGCATCTCAACAACAGTAAGTAAAATTCTACAAAACTTACCTCTCGAACTTCCGTACATGCATTCGCTAGGCCCTCGCGTATGTCTTGGGGTTGGTGATATCGTTTCCTGCGGCCTTTCCGTTTTGCCAACCTCTTCATTCTTACGCTCGGTCCTGGTGAAAGCATATCATACGCCGTTTCAGCGGTGACCTGAAATAATATTAATCCGTAAATATCATCATTACAAACGTTGTTTTTTAATTCTTCGTGGTAGTCTAGAAGTAGACAAAGGGTTTTATACTATTTCGAACTAATTAGTCTTCAATACTTATATTTGACTATGGACTTACCTGGATAAGGTAGATTAACCGTGTAGTAAGCTCTAAAGCTGCCATAACAGTTGAGGTAGTGAAGCTATTAGCACCGCGTTGTAAGCCACGAACAATCCTACCGTCTTTTTGATATTGTTCAATTGGTAACCAGAATAAATCCTTGATACCCTGGACTGAAAAAGGCAAACAATGCATTCCGGCACATTGAAGGCTATTTGAAGAAATACTTACAGAGCTGTAAAACGGCCTTCACAGGTCCGACGCCTTTAAAAATGGCTGAGAGTTGATTCTTCTTTATGTCTCCGATCCATTCCCGTAGCAAAAACTCGATCAATTTAGTAACTCCGAGCAAACCGTGTCTATAAACTATTCGTTTCAGTCTAATCTCTGAACAATTCAAATGTCCTAATCCCATTAGTATCCCTAAAAACACCACATTTTAATAAATGTTTATCGGAGTCAATAGAGCGAACATACCTGCAATTGAGCCGCGACTCATATCTAATCCTTTGCCAACGTAATCTAAGCGAATGAGAACATCTTTAGAAAATTCCAGGTGTCTAGCAAGAAAATCCATTTGGTTAAAATATCGATTATTGTAATTACACGCGCTACATACCTAAAGTAAATTGGTGAATCGTCAGCAACAGTAAACGTATTTGCATCTTCTGTTGGGGCTTCGGGCTCAGTATGGTATCTACTTTCTAGAAGAATCAGATTTTCGTTGACAACTTCTTTCGCCTTCTGCTCAATTTCACGTTCACTGATCAGTGATGTTGTCAGTATTGGCGGTTGATGAGTCGGAGTAGAATGCAACGAACCAGTCTTTGCCTCTAAGGATAAAAAAATCATTAAATGAGATTATTACTTCGTTCATAAATCGTTCATATTGTTTTTAATTAAAACACATTTTTTGAATCAACAAACCTGTAACATTTTCATCAGCATTTTCCCCGCTCAGTTCCTTGAAGAAATTGATCAAGAAAAACAGCGAGTCTTGATCTATATTTAGTCTTATTGGCAAAAGAGATATTTTGATATCACATTCTTGCCGCTTGATTTTACGGTCTGGTCGCGAATGCAACGTCTTTATCAATACCTACAAACACTCATGTTTACAATTGAATAATTCGATTTCAAGAAACGTACCATATGAGAATTCGACTGTTTTGGGTGCGAATGACTCGAATATTGATACAGAAATTTGTTGATTTGACTGGATGCTAGTTGATCTTTAATCTCTATATCTGTTATGCACAGGACTTGTCTCGAAACCTGCTGGACGCTATCTGGATATACTTCATGACTAAAGCGAACCTTTAAGAAAATGATTAAACATGAAAGACTTAATTGCAACAGTGGATAAGACCTACCTTATTTAATTGTAGTTCCATTAGTACTGAATGATTTCGGTTTGCGCCGCCCCTTTGAATCCAACTCAGTCCTTTAGTACGCTCGTTCTGTGCAGGACTTAAAGTCACTGTAGCTCGATGCGCATGTGAAAAGGATACTTTGTCATGTAGTTGCACCTCTGTAAATCTAACTTCCCTCTTAGGGTCATCTTTCGTCTTAAAATCATGGCCACCATACATCTTCCAAGTTATCGACATATCACAGAGTGTGTATTTTGCAACAGGAGTCGGGAAACTTTTGGGGGGAGCCAACACATCTAAAAATTACAAAAATAGTAAATTTAGTTTCCCGTAACAATTCCCTTTTCACAATTACCTCTCTTTCCATCAGGTTTCGCAAAATAATCTTCCAATATTTGAACGTTCTGCGACATCCAAGTGATTTCTGGTACACCATCCTTAGGCGGAATGGAATCGTCTTGTAGATACACGAAGTCGAAATCGTCGTCACTAAAAGACAGCCGATTTCCACCTACGTCCCATCGTTCGATAACACCGAGATCTGTCACTACTACGGGATTTTTAAAACTGGGAACATCCCTCTGGCCTTCTTTTTCGTCCGGAAAGTAGAAGAGTTGGGCACCGGTTTGGGGATAAGCATTAGGAGCTGAAATGAATAGTTGTACAATATCTGTATGTGTCGGTTTAGACTTTTTGTCCTTTCTAATTTATGGTTACTTCACGGTAAAATTGCTCACACTTTTCGATTTGACTGTTAGCAACACTAGTTGCAAAATCAGAAAAAATCCAGCTTTCTTCGAGTAGTAAGTAGTAAGTTCGCAGTAAGATACTTCGAATAACGTATAATTAGTGTGGGTTGGAAAAAACAACTAACTTTAAAGTCCATATATGAAAGTGAACTTAAATATTGGGATCCAGAAAATAATGAAAAAGATAATCTTACTTTTACTAACAGTGTCATCTTCCATCGCTTCTTTCAACATTTCGCTAATTTGCTCTTCCTGACTTTTGCTTAGAGAGTTCTCCTGTTCTTTCAAACGTATTAATTCTTCTTCCATGTTTGAATTGACATTGGAATTGATTGAATCGGCAAGCTGAGGATCAACTGGAAAATCGCCATCGTTGATATAGTACGTTAGGAGTTGAAACAATGCTCGTCCACTATCTGAACACGTTCTGACACTCAAGTTCGTAATCGATGTGCGAAGATCGATGTGTGGATTGATTCCGCTTTGCTGTTAAAAAATTCACAAATTAAAAATCTCATTTAATAATCTATAGCAATATTGTACCTTATCTGTTGTCTTTATGCTAATCTCAAACAACGCGATCTCTATGACGTTCACATAATCTCGTTCAAGATCCACTTTAACAGTAGAACACACTCCATCTTTTGGTGGATGTTTGTCGCTCAAGAAAAAGCCACAGTCCTCAAACATCATCGTTAAAGTGGACGTGTTTGCAACTGCAGATAAATGCGACGAAATACTAAAGCTTCCAATTCCTATTGCAGACCTTAATGGCAAATATAATGGCCTAAAATAAGATGAAATTAAGTTGATTAGAGCTACATTTTTCGGATCACAGAATGATCCGAGATTATGTTGCCTAAATTTTATTGCATGTTCTACTTGCTAAAATAAGTCAAAAAGTTCATATAAACGTAGATCTGTAAACGCAAAACATATTTGTTTTCTTTTATAATTGCTTGAATTGATTCAGAATTAATTTTCTGTCGCGTCAAAATCGGAAAGAATATTGCGACATAATTTTAAAACTTTTTATATGTATAAAGTGTTACAAGAACATTTTCAAGAACGGTTTTATTTGCGTTAAAAACATCGATTACCTGTAATCTATTATACTGTCCCAGATATGTAAATGGAGCTCCGTTAATACATCTTTGGGTACATAGCCCGGAATTGGATAATCTTCAACGTTAAAATAATCCATAAGGTGTGAGATCCAAGAGTTGGGCTGTTTCCCCATTTTATGTCTCAACGTTGCTCCATTAAGACCTAATGACACAGTAACGACCTAAAAAATACATTTAGAATGACAAGAAAAAACTGTAAAACACAATGATACATACCTTAACATGGTGCGTTTCATGATTTGCTTCAACTTTTACAGCAACAGTAAACATTTCCCTGTCTTTTCCTCTATGCTTGGATAAGGACATACTCTTTTTATCCGACTGGTATATTGTTGGAAATAGCTCCTTACCTAATATGGCACCCGGTTCTCTCAAAGGCAAACGAATCCTTTGTGCAGGTTTATTATCTGAAAGAAACCACTTGATTAATATATCTAGACTTTTTAATCATCCGTTGCAAAATTAATTGCAAAGGGCACTTACCACAATGATATAATTCAACAGATTTCATTTGAACACATACATATGCCAAATCTTCTTCACCCTTGTAACCACTTACAATGAATACTTTTGCGTTGTCTAGATTAAGTAAAAGTTCGCCCTGTTGACCTGCGAAAATATTTAAATAGTTCACTTAAACTTGCAAAATAATGAACATTTACCTGGAATAACATTATTGGTGCCGTCACGACAAGGGGGATTTACGTTCAACATCCCTTCTTGTATGTTCAATGATAGTATAAAATTGCTTTGACTATTTCTTATTGGTGATCGAACATCGTCAACTGGCGATACTTTCGATTTACCGCCATAAGCCGAGTAGAAAATGTTTGTTACCACTTCTTCATACTCGCCAGAGTCGCTGTCGGAATCTAAAACAAAATTCCCGATTTTCGAGTATTTTTATATAACAATATTTTAGGTGATTGACAAGTAATAATTTAGTTTATTGTAGATAATTCTATAGATTTGATAGTTTATTGTACATAAGGATAAATACAGCATGTTTTTTAAATTTTATCTCTTAATATGTTAGCGATATTTTTCGTCACTGCTTACCAGATTGTAAACCACTATTAGCGACAATATACTCATTATTAAGGGACAGATCATGGAATTTAGCACTGAGTGGATTTTTATTTGTTGGCTTAGGCGCTTGTGGCTCCCAAAGCAGCAGATCGTTATTGATTCGATTGTAAATCAATTCGTAAGTGTGTTTGGATTCCAGCTCAATTGATACAGTGGGAAGAATTAGATCAACTATAATATGACCATTGGACCTTGTGGAATCCATAAATTCTTGAAGCTCTAATTTGTCACCAGGAATTACTTGTTCTTCGGATTCATCTAAAATTGTAAAGACAATTTCTTTTGAAATTACATGCTTCTACACTACGACAGGCACAAGACCAAACCTAATTCTATCACTAAATAATTTCGATTTTATAAATTTCCATCCAAATATAAAATACTGAGGCAACAATTTCCAAATGCATATTTCCCGAATACCATTCCTATTGTAACATGCCCAATTTCCTATCTTTACAACCCATGACTTTTATTTTTATTACGGGTACATTATTATTAATTTTTATTTAATTTTCAAAACTTTTATTTTGGAGTTAACTGGGTATTTTGCCTATTTTTTGTTCATTAAACGATAGAATTTCCTCATTTCTCCTATCAATCTGTAATAAAAGACGTGAAAAAGTTCCGTTTTAAAAACTTAAAAATTGAAGCAAAATTCCCATCAAAAGAATCCGCCTGAACTATATAGATCTTATGTATGGATATTCATGTAATAAGAGATTATAGGAATTAATACCTAAGCACAAAAATATTGATTGCTCATTTATAAGACAAGTAATACAATATCTACATGAACACAAAGTAATTTCATCTGGATACCAATCAAACCATACTCTTGATGTTATTTACCTACAAGTCCAATTACTGACCTCACTAAAATTCCATCCTTTAGTGACCTGCTAATGCAATGTTAGTTCGTACTCTATCTAATTTCATGTATAGAATTACGCATAAGTACGCGCTTCGGACGTATACCTTTTATGAAATTGTCATGCGGAGTGTCGCTCTCATGCACTACTAATTTTCCTCCAAATGGACCCGGATCTGCAACTTTAGATGGCCCATAAAAAGATTGAGTCATTATATCGGGCGCTCTATCGTCCGCGTCATTCTCCAACTGTTTGGGATAGACTTTGATTGATAATCTATAACAAAGGCGTTTAAATTATATATAGAAACAATGACTTAAGTTACTCAAAACTTACTTTGTTAAAGGCGTATTATTCATTGCGCTGTATGGTTTTTCTTCTCTGCCCGATCTGGCGATATGTTGTCCAGTAGCATTTTCGGTTTCATAGTATACTATGTCCAATAGTTTACAGTCTATATTGAATTCACTAAAGTTTTGCTGTGTTTGAAATACCGTGTGAAAATTGGCCCTCTGCAATATAAGCGAAAGGTAATCAGGGCGCACATTTCTTTCCCACCATGGTGGTTTACTCATATCTGTAGCAGGCCTGTAATCTGGTATGGGAAATCTGAAAAAATGTAGTGTAAATAAATTTTTACTGAAACTGGAAATGATAAAATAGGATTGAGTTCTTACAATTCTTTGCCTAAAAGGCAAAGGTAAGGATGTGTATTAATGAGGTTTTGGTGTTATAACGCTAAAACTGTAAAACGCAATTTAAAATGAAGTAGAAGAAAACTGCCTAACTGCAATATTTTGCAAAACTTCTGTTTCTATTTGATAGTAAAACATCCCAGGTAAAAATCATAGTCTGACGGCCGCTTTGAGTAAAGAAATAAAGTTTTGGAGCCAAAAGCGCCTCAGTGGCACTTTGGTTGTTTTGCTCCTGAATATTTATTCATTAGAATATTAGAAAAATTAATCACATATATCAAGAAGTATTTAAGTATATTATTATTTTCAACAATATCTCTTCTGGATCAGGTAAATAAAATATTGGCAGCTATAAAAAATATTGGAATTTTGAGACAATGATAGTATACTTAGACTCAGAAACAGATCTATTTGCTGCGGACGAGGAATTTGATTTCATATCAAGAAGATAAGACTCATGGGAGTGAGAATTCCATATCACATAATGACGCTACTACTACGACTAGTATTAAGGTTGAGTAGAGTTTAGGGTTCAGAATGTAAGGTCACCCGAAACGAACCAGAAAAAGAACAATCAAATTAACGAATAAAAAAAATAATAAAGAAGAATAGGCTTTCTGCTGAAGCATATAAAAGCATAGGGAAAAATAAAACAAAATAAATAAAAAAATGGACAGTTTAACAACTTATGAGCCACAAACAAGTTTTTCAACTTCAGCCATAAAAAAGAACCCAACAGAAATGAAAATATTCCAAAAAGATGTTCGCTTTGTCGTTTTTGTATTTCCTGATAATTGGTTTTAGTTTAAAGGCAAAATAACCCAAGTGCTTTTTTGTTTAAAAATGTGGACAATTAATTTATCTAAATAAACTTTTTGTGACTGGTTGGCGGTTTTGGTTCTAACCCCTTCAAATATAATATTTTAGACTTACATATAGACATATTGTAAGAGAACGTACCTGATTTTAAGATTAAGAGACGGACACGACAGTTTAATATCCTGAATGCTGCTTACTGTATCTGCAGTTAAATATGGAGCGGCATGTGTTTGATAAGCAGAAGGTACCGTTCTATCATTCTCAAAACGTTCACATATTGGAGGATGATTAAGAACTGATGAAATTCTGTCAATTATTGATAGATCAAATTCCACAATGCATTGATCGAGAATAATTCTTAAAAAAAAACAACATTGAAACAAATGTGAAACATTTCTCTAGTTGTGCAAGTACTCACGAAATGTCTGTTTTTGGCCCATTCTTCTTCCTATAATCCCCAGATCTCCCTTGTCTCTGTACATGCTTGAATTTGAGAGAAAAGTTTGGCTTGACGCCGCTGGGACTGTTCAAGGCTTGTGGGGATTTAAAACTAACTAATGGAATATGCTGAAACTGTCCGTTATAAAGCCACTCAGAGATTTCTAGTTTTGAAGCCGTTAGATTTCCGGATATGGAAAACGCACTAGAAATTGTAGTTTCATTGCCTTCAAATTTTACAGGCGAAGCAAGCAGTCTAAAAAATGGTGATAGAAGTTTCTTTCTTTTCTTTCGTTTCTAATCACTACCTTATTTGACTTAAGTTACAAGAGTTTTGCAGCCGCTTGTGGAGTTCATCAAACCCATCAGCAGCCAATTCAGAGAACATATCGCTTGTTAAGCTCCCAAAAAATTGGTTAGCAAGGGACTGCATCTGGCCTACAATCACCTTACCATTTCCGGCAGAATGGGCCAGTTGATCTTCGTGTAGAAGTATCACAGCCAAACTAGACAAGCGAATTTGGAAATTCGAAATCTCCGCTGTAGGATCTGAATTAATGTTGCAAGCTAAACAAGAAAATTATAATATTAAAAATTATATGTTTTAGACGTGTAATAGATAAAAAATATACCTCGCTGTCGGGCATGTGAAGTAGCATCAGTAACAGCGCTAGTCATACTGGATGTGATACTAAAATCCAAGGAGCTGCTAAGGCCACTCATAGTACTATCATATACCTCACTGGTTTCTGCTTGCATTGGAAGGTACTCACTACCGGTACTTTCATCTGAAATAAACATCTGTTGTTTTTTAACCCTTACACCGGCATCAATGTGATAAAATACCTAACGGCCCCGTAGACCATCCATGTCCTTGTAATATGTTAAATCCGTGCATGTGCCTATGGCTTGTCATTTGCGCCAGTTGCTCTTCAATCCTCTCATAATCCATCTCAGTCATTGGTCTCGGTTCGGGTTGGTTTTTCCGAAGAGCATTACTACGAAAAAAAAAGCTGTAGATTGTTTCAAATGTTTACATCGAGAGAACCGAATTACCTGGTATCTTTCGAATTCGGGCTCAAAAATCCTTCCGCCAGTTCTTTTAACATATGAAATTGTCTAGGAGATAGAAATAAAACTAAAGCACCTAGATTCAGTTCAATTGCTACTTTTGGACCACTGGATTGATCAGATTGTTTTAATCGGAGTTTTAGCTAAAAGCATCCAACGTCTTACGGATGATCTAAACAATTGCGAAAATTATGCTTACTTCTTGATTGTCAAACAATTTTCCACAAAGAACCACAGGACCATCATCACTTTCATTATCATCTTCAGAAACCGAATCGCTGTCTTGAGCAGTTTCGAAACTGTCTTGCCTAGAATAAAAATATTCAAACCTAGTGCTGCAGTAATATCTAACATTATACGAAATATGTTCATTTTAATTGTATTTAACGTATAATACTTACGTGATTGTAGACTCATTTCTTTCGTCACTTGAAAATTCAATTGATGACAACCGAATACCTTTTAAAACTATATTTTTTGTGGTTACTGCATCAATAAGATAATTCTTAGCGTCGCCTTTTTTTGGTGGGTCGCATGCCTCTTTATTCTCAGTTTCCATAGTGAAGTCGTCGAAAAATTCCACGCTGAATTATACATTAATAACATATTTTACCAATAAGTCGAGATAATTGAAAATACTTACGAATCTATATTGATTACTAAACCAACTCCTTTTTGGCTATCGAGTGGCAAATGTTCCACTTCGATTACAGTGTCAACAAATTTTACCTTAATTCGTTTCATAACTGGAAAAATCAGTTTATGTGACTAACTAATAATAAATAAACGACCCAATTAAAATGTTATAGAATTTTTAAAGATAAAGCACAATTAAAATATTTAATTAATGAGCAATGAGGAAAAGTGCGGGTTTACTTGTTTCAATAGCCTGAGCAAAAAAATTTAGTCCTTCCACAGCTGGAATAGGCAGTTCCTGCTTTGTGGCCGCTTCCTTTGCAAATTCTTCAGCCATTTTCATTGAGCTGCTCATGGAATTCCACATAGATTCGAGCATTGAAGTAGCTGTAAATTAGCACAGATCAGATTTCCAATCCACTTTCTCTAACTTCTGACATTTTACCATCGTCTATGCGTTGCTTTGGTTGCACTTTTATTCTGAGTCCACATATTTCCACTTGGGTCGACTCACTGAATATTGCTGTCCAAGGAATGCTAATATGTATTTTGTCTATGTAGCCTTCGACGACTTGTACCGGCCAGTTTTGGGTTTCGCTCAACTTATTAAGAGCCTAAGATGCGAAAACAAATAACTACTATAATGTGAAATTAACAGGAAATTTAATCTGTAAACAAACTCCAAAAAATGCATTAAAAGTAAGGCGTACCAAATGGACTTTTTAGTTGAAATATGCAATATTCAACAGTAACAAGACGCGTTTGCAATGGATGTTGCAAAAATTACAAATTTTTTAAAATATTGTCCGTGTGTTCGTCTTGGAGCTCGAAATGTGTCCAAGTGGAAGCCATTAGTCGATTTAAAAATAATATTTTAGTATTTGCAACCGTTTTCAAGGGGATACTGATTTGAATCCTACAAAAACTTTCTGCTGCAGAATAGTAGTCTTCTGGATGCACAAAAACAACATTTTGCGAAACATAGTCCACATAAACCTTTGGAACAAAATCGAGATCCTGTAAGTGGACAATTTTTGTCCAGTACTTTTTCTCATCTCATTAGTCCTTCCTTTATAAAATTGTTCACATTTTCGTTTTGACTTACACTGATATTTGGTGTGAAAGTCCAATCAGTCAGTTCAGAGGTGTTCTGTGGTTAGCAATTTAAGCTAGTAGAGTGGCCAGATTTTCCGTTATTTTCTATTATTTAGGAATCCTAAAGTATGTAAGAATTGTTGCCTGAACCAGTTTACTTATTTGTGGCCGTTTGCCTCTCTTTGGAATGTAGATTCCGATTTATTAGTAAAGGATTATGAATATGCTACTCCACTTGACATACTTATAAGAAATCTCCGATAAATCATGATCATTTGGAAACTGAATCAAATGTAAACTATAAAGACGCCGTTAGTTATGTAAAATGTTTATAAACAAAGGAACAAGAGCGCGGTGACTTCACAGTCTTATCTGGGTTAGCAATGCATTTTTGAAGCAAAGCGAAAACCCACTAAACAACTTTATTTGGTTTTGGAATATTTACATGTTTATTTAGTATGTATTATATTTATTCAGTTTTATTATTTACCAATTTATTTGCATGTTTATTATTCTTTCAAACGGACACATTATAGTGCCGAAGTTGTTCGCTTCAAGGGGCCTAAGGACACACGAAGAAGTACAAGAACGCCCGTTGATATTCGCACAAATTTTTCGTTAAAACATCAACGTACATGTTTACTGTTCCGGCTTGAATTCATGGACGCACGTATATAAGCGAACGCATATGTGTGAGGGAGTAGAGACAAAGAAATTGTTTGTTTAAACACTTTGCAATTGGACTGCATGCATATTTGTTATGATTATTATGGTTTGTTTCGAACCTTAGTTTGCTTTGAATGTAAGAAGTGTCTCAAAAGAGTTAATTTTAAATAGAGTTTATTGAAGTAAAGTAAGTTTATCCATGGATGTGGAAAACAAAGGCAAAGTAGAACCGAAACAAGAAGGAGATCGCTTATGGGTGCGCCAAAAGAAGCGGTTAAAATATTAATAGTATTCGCTGTAGGTTTAGAAGGCAAACCGTTCTAAAAGAAGAAAAAGACAAAATTCATTCATGTTCCTCATTTTTTGGCATTTAAGTATTATGAGATATCGGGAAACGTATAGATAGGAAATTGTTGAGGATATAAAATTAAAAATCTTCATAATTTCTTGCAGTGGCTGATAACCTTTTATGAGCCGATATAACAGTTCTCATAAAGGTGTTTGCCTTTTGAGATTATTATTACAATCGAATTAAATCATAACTTCCATGTTTCTAAGTATATAGTTATTCTTTGTTATAATTGATAATGCACCGTTTTTTAAATAGCATCATTATTGTAAGTAAAGATAAAATTATATTGAAGAAAGAAACAAGGGGCAATTGTTAACACAAAAGTAGTTTTTTAGAAACAGAAGTTAAATATAGTAACGCAGTTTTTTTTTAAACAGTCTCATGTTGAGAAAAACTATGAATTTTTTTCTGAAGACCACAAATGATTAATCTTCAATTTCCTCCACTGTTTAGTCAAAAGTTTCCTAACAGTGCGCTAATAGTACAATTCCACTAGTTATTTAAAAGTGAAATTGTTCTATTGAGCGAACTGTTAGGAAACTTTGCACTGACTTTTTGTGATCTTCAGAAAAAACTTCTGTTTTAAGTAAAAAATAACGACATTTTGATTAAAAGCGTCTATAGCACGCAACTATTGCCGATTTCTTTGTGTTATACAAGCCAAAATGATAATGGACTCCTAATATTAAAGAAGAATGTGAATAATTGATATTAAATGGGTTTTTGCTGTGGAAATTCCAACTGTTGCACCTACGCAGACAATTTTCAAACTGGAAACGACATACTTATTACGCAAAATTCTGATACGCAGTTCTGGTTGGTCAAATGTCATTGATAAAAACGTGCTTCTAAATAAAACATCTCCAACCCTCCATTTTGATGTAATGTAGAATCTGAATATAAACCAGGGCTTACTCGACACCTTATCCAGTTAATAGCTAATAAATTATGGCGTTTATTTAACTATACCTCAACTGCAAGGAAGATTTTTTCGGCTGTAGCGCGTCCATTGCTTAAACCCAAACTGAGTTCGCTTTCAATTACTTTATTCTCAATAAAATTGCTCAGATATTCTCGCACCAGGAACGAGCACAAAGTTGACCTAAGAGCTTCAATTTTAAATTTTTTTAACCACGAAATACTCATTTTCTTAATCACTATCAAGCAAGTGTGTACATACTGATTCGTGGTCTCTTTGTTATGGTGTTTATGAACGAAATGAAAAGTTGCGGGCTGTTTGACATAAAGCAGCTGTCTATGGCGGACATGACACGACTGGGATTTTGTATGTTGCCAAATCTTGGAAATTTAATGTTTGGAATCGACTGATCGTTTTCAAGAACCGGAGTTTGAATATGGCACTGTGATACGTTAACAGATTTACAGATGCAGACTAATATTTACACATTACTTTTCAGTAATATGGAACCTGTAATCTGAAAATGAAGATGTGAACTTGAAAAGAAACATGTGTTTGCCTAACTTTGCTGGAATGTTGGCAACCATGGTTACGCATTGTTTTTGTTTGTTGATCAACAACATGATGTAATATTTATCCAAGGCTCGCAGCCAAGACTCACAGCCAAGACTGTTCCTTGTCTTCATCCATGGACTGTTCAATAATGCTCTCCTTATGAATGGGTCTAGTGGTAAATGTAATGATCGTTGAATCCCAATTATTCGATATTATTCCCTAGTGCGCAGTGGATTAAAATGTAGTACTTGCTACAAATTACTTTTAAAAGTTTTGTCGTGCAACTCCTTTATTTTAAAACTCGTTAACAAGAACTATATTTTCAAAGATTAGCGCGTTAATAAATTGAACAAAATAATTACCTTTCTGGTATTGCAATTGAAAATAATTTTAAATTAATATTTTTTTCTTGTCGGCTAAACTGCACATTTCCCTCCACTGTACGTCACAATGACACGTAGTATCCACAGAACCTAGGGGGGATATTTTGTGGTAGTATCCACGACAACCACAAAAGTGTTTGAATACAAAACAGTACAAAATACAAACTTCTATGCAAGTCAAAGTTAGTAAGTTTAATGCATTCATTTCTTGTTCTATGGTTCCTCCTTTCAATCTTGTTCTATGGTTTCATGTGAAGCGCATGAATATAAATAATGGGGATAAAGTGAAGTATATCACCTCGTTTTCATGATTTATACATACATATAATGTCCTAGTACTATTGCCTTTGAAGTTGGTTTCAAAATATCAAATTATTAAATTGCTAATCAATATAAGTATGTACACTTTCGTTAAAAAACGATAAAAACTACTTGGGAAAAGCAGAAGACTCTCGTGTTAATCACAGCTAATCGTGCAAACTCATCCAGGGGCGGATCCAGCTTTAGAGTTAAGGGGGGTCAAGTACTAGAAGTTCAGTGTTTTGTTGTCTATGAAATTAGAAAAATAGAGGGGGGGGGGGGCATGGAAAAATTGGACAAAAAAGGGTTCTAAAGATATTTCTGAATAATCTGTATCGCTTTACCGAAGTAATTCTGATGATTATTCAAATCTTTCAAACGGTTTCCAGGATATCGACTCGAACTTCGATAACACTTTAAAGTTTGATATTTTTTCTGAAAATTTTTTGAAAAAGTCTGGGTACTGAACGAATCTGTTGAAAATACACTAATGAATATTATATCGCTTTTGAAGTATAAATAAAAATGTACAAGAAATCATTATTAACTCTCCGCTCTTAATTTTTCCATTGAGAATTAAACAAATTATTTTTCAAACTGTTTTATACTTCTTTTCAAGCGTTTGCTTCTTTGCGTTGCTATTTCTCTAGACATTACGAATTTCTCATCAAACTTAATTAGTAAAAGACGCCGGTTATCGAACAGTTCGGAACAATAGTCCGCAGCAATACGTAATAGTCCAGCGATAGTTTTTGGTCAAAAGAAAAAATGACCTTAACAGTCCTGCTTCTAGGGCCAAAAAGTATCATCAGTTAAAAAATGTGCACTCTTCAAAGATACACTCTGTATAATGTTACAAAATATTTATTTGCAACGTTTTAGCATCATTTCCTTGAAACGTTTCAGCGCAACTTTTCAATGAAACGTTTCCGAAGTCGGACATAGGACAAGTGATATAGCAAATTTAACTTTTTTTAAATGCTCTTAATATTTTTTTCATTATTATAAATTATATGCATGTCCCGGAAATTAAAAACCTTAAAAAATTAGGAATATGACTCATTCCTGTTTCCTATTTTCTTCATTTGCGCGTTATAATAAACATCATACTCAACTCGTGAATCAGCGTAATTTGTTGCTGTTACACTCCAATTAGTTTATTAATCATCAATACTTGTATATATTTTTAATCGGCATTTTGTTGAACTTTGTCTTGAAATATTGACGCTGAAATCAAAATTTGTTAATTTTCTCAAATCTTCTAATCGGAATTAACATGTGACTGTGTGAAGTGCAAGGTGCCTTGTTTACTAATTTCTAAGAATCTGATGCGCGACAGCGTGGACAAGGAGAACTTTTAAAAGTTTTGCACGATTTTTACATCCTTTTGGAACATAGTTTACGCTCTAGGATTTTCATCATTGAACAGTTGCCAGATTCAGCTTAGGTCATGTCCGCTTTTATGTTTCATCTTCCTAAATTTGCGTTTTGTCCAGACAATTTTTTGTATGTTGTATTATTTTACATTGAGCCGTTACCGAGGAAAAAAAAATAAAAATCACTCATTTTGCCAAAATATGATACTAAATTTTCTTATTAGAGGTTCTCAACCATCATCGACGAAGATTTGAAACACTTTTACACCCTGAAGTTTAAATCTTCGGGATAAGGGCACATTTATGATTTAATTGTAAAACTAAAAATGAACTTTTAGTAAGTACTTAAATAAGTAATAATAAAAACACACCCAAGTAGAGAATTTTTAAAATGTTACTTTTATTTAACGAACTTTCATTACATAAAATACTTTTATTACAAAAACTGGTTGCAGATACCAAAAAACCACAAGACACCAAATAGTTTCTAAGCAAGTGGGACAATCAATTTTGCGCCCTTGGAGGAGAAAAGCGGACATGACCATAACACTTTCATCAGATTTGACTTCGTTTATATGAACTTTAGTCATGAAATATGTTAAGTGATGATATAATGACCTTTTTCCGTATGTACGTATGTACTTGATATTAGGAAGCACCATGTATAATTTTAAAGTAAGCAGGGAGCAACAAATGTGTGGCAAATAAATTGATTGATGATTAAAATAAATAACGACTAATAATAGAATAACATAGGCCAGTTAACTGAAGTGCGCGATCGATGCTTATACTGAATACTGACCGGCGAAAGCAAATTGCAGTCTTTCCTTGACCAGCAGACATCAGCCCCAGTATATTGCTGCAAATAAATATGGAATTTATCGCCATTGTAGTGCTGTGGATGGTTAGTTTTACATTTGCTCGAATAGAATACAACGTTAAAAGTCGGGCAGAAAAACCAATTTACTTCGAACAAAACGGGGTCGATTGGCAATTCGATCCTGACATAGACCTGGATGTGCCCCAGATCATTCGAAGACACGGATACGCTTCAGAAACGCACGTAGTTGAAGGTAAAGATGGGTACTTGCTGAAATTGCACCGGATTCCTGGACCTAAAGGGGCTCAGCCGGCTTACTTACAACATGGACTGTTGGGGAGTAGTGCTGATTGGGTTTTGAATGGAAATACAACTCTAGGTAAATATATTTGGATATTAAACTTATTATATTAATTATATTGGACCTTAAACACATAAACTTATACAAAAGTAATCGAAAACAATCTCATGTTCAATAAATATTTTAAATTATGGAGAAAGATGCCTAAAATGAGTATATGTAAATTATGGGTATTTAAGCCAAGTAAAAATGGTTTAACTATAGCCGAAACTTTGCCACAAAAAATACTGATTTTGTTTTCTGCCACTATCTATTGACCGATAAACCCAAGAACCTAAATAGGCATTTTTTACCAATTGCCATCACGGTCACTAGTAAATCACATAAAAATGTTTTTTGAGAAGTTCAGATTTCTATTGTTTTATAATAAAGTAGATTTTTTGCTTCATAATAATTTTAAATTATGATTTACTTTCGATAGGAGCTACTTAGAACGGTTTTAGTTTCTTTAAACTGTCGTCCTTTTGGATGATTTAAAGTTTTTATATGTTATTTATAGGTTCTTGGTATTTGACGATTGTGAACATTGATAGTCTTTGCATTTGAGCATAAAATAAGCACATACACTTTAATCAGCTAAAATAATTTAAAATTTTAGCCAAAAATAAAAATGTACATTCTGCAGGCCTTCAATGTTTGGTCAGTAGTCGGTTTTCTATTCCAATCAATTCAATATTAAGTACCTACTTTCTTGTTCACCAATGAAATTAAGCTTAAAAGTTTGAATTAAATTATTTGCTCTTGAATGAAGATGAACAGTTTTGAGTCTTGCTACTTAGTTATTTTTCTTCAAAGCGCTAAAATACATCAAATATAAAGTTATAATTTAGTCTTGACTGCAATATAATATTTAGGGTTCAGAACTGTTTTTATTTATTCATTCATCTAGGATTATTGCTTCATAGTCAAAAAGGTTACTTAAAAAGGTTACTATTTGTTAAATTTAAACAAGTTTTTCAATTTTTAATTTAAATGTTACTTTTAAATTGTGGATATCTCATTTTATTATTTGTTTTGGGACTTTTTATGACTTAGATTATTTGAAATTACGTTTGCTGATTAAATAGTATCTGTGCCTATTTGGTTCTGAGATGCAGAAAATCAAGGAAGTACCAACTTTTAGCTTAAAAAAATATTATAAGGGGAAAATTTAATAAGCGGCGAGTCGAATTTAAACCCTCTTAGTAGTTAAAGTCATCCGATTTTATATATTAGGAATTCAGTATTTTTGGTCAATGAGCATCATGCACACTAAATGCACAGAAAATGTAAACTTATGTTAATGCAAGTTTCAGATTAGAGCAAAAATATGAAGAAACCTTCAGGTTTCCTATTATCATGCAACAGAAATCTGCGAAACTTTGGCCGTTGAAATTATATTCAATTCCCACTAATGCAACATTCAAAAACTCCATTTCAGCCTTCTACCTAGCGGATAATGGATATGATGTCTGGCTAGGCAACGTTAGAGGCAATACGTACTCCAGAGCACATGTTTCGCTACCAGTCGACAGTGCCCAATTTTGGAACTTTAGTTGGCACGAAATGGCCATCCAAGACTTGCCGACTATTCTATGTCATATCAGCACATCCACTGGTAATACATTTAGGTCGTTGTATCTGGAAACGTGTTTTGCTTTATAATTTGATGGCAATATCATTTTAAATTGTCGTTCTTCAATTGCACCGCAATGAGCAACTAAAAATCCTGGATTTTGTTCGCTTGGATAACTGTATCATCCGCAAATATATTGTAGTTCTGTTGGCTCTCTATTGATTTTGATATAAATTTTTATAATGGATAAAGCATGAGGCAACATCTGTTCGCTGATAACGGCATTTCTGGAGAAGGTTCATTGCGGTTTTGCGCGTTCTGAAGGTGCCTTACGAACATGAGGCCTCATGACACAAAACTTTTCCTATACAACTTTGCCATATACAGAGTATTAAAAAGACACATACTATCACTCCTCACGTAAAAGTGATTACATTTTAGGAAAATATGGAGAGATAATCTACATTGGCCACTCAATGGGCACAACCATATCCTTCGTCCTGGCCTCCACTTTACCCGAAGTAGCTGAAAACCTCAAGCTGATAGTGAGTCTGGCCCCGACGGCTTTCATGACACACTTACGGAGCCCCATTAAATACTTGGCTCCTTTCACGGATGATATTGCCTGGATTTCACGGCACCTCGGAATCAAAGATCTGGCCCCATCCAACAAACTAATGAAATTTTTATCGTACGAGTGTGAAATCAGCTACGGTAAAGAGATTTGTCAGAATTTGCTTTTTGTGCTCGCCGGATTCAATAAAGATGAGTTTGATATAACGACGTTGCCGAAAATAAGTAGCCATGATCCAGCTGGGGCCTCGACCAAGACACTGCTGCACTATGCTCAAGAGATTCGAAACAAAGGCAATTTTCAACAGTATGATTACGGGCCTACAGGAAACTTGGAAAAATACGGCACAACAACACCTCCATTGTATAAATTAGAGAACATCAAGCTACCGGTATATTTGGTTTATGCAAAAAATGATATAATGACTAGTTATGTGGATGTGGAAAGCCTGTCTAAGAATTTGACGAACCTGGCAGGCATGTACTTGGTTCCCAGTGATACTTTTGGTCATGTAGACTTTATTTTTGGAAAGCATGCTTATCAATACGTGTACAAGCCCTTGGTTCAATATTTGAAAAAGCATGCTGTCGATTCCAATGCTATTAGGAAACCACAGAAGCCACTTAGTATTTCAACTTGCCGGGCAATGTAAAATGTGTGTATGTTTTAATAAGCTTATAAACTGATTTGCTGACTATTTTAGTTTCCTATTCCTATATCCTGGTTAATACACAACCACATACACGAATAGCGATGCCAAGTTTCTAGGAAGTTTTCTTTTCGATGCTGATAGCATGACTCAAGAATACTTTTATTTTTTATTACAGTGAGGGATTTCTTATCAGACTCAATGAGGGAAATACACTTTTTGAATCACTCACATTATATAATCTTCTTCTTAATATTAAGATTAATCTGATTTACAGAACTTTTTGGGAGATATAACATTAAACATGGACAAACGTAAAAAACGCATTTTTGCTTCTAACTGGCAGCTCTTAAAATGCTCTTTTAAAAGGTTCCTAATCATTTTTAAGATATTGATCACTGATTCCGAGATAATTAAAAATGTTCTATATTATATCCAATAATTCAACAAAAATTGAACTTTTTTGTACGTTAGAAACTTTGCTTGATGCATGAAGAGAAAAAGATGGGGTCGAAAGCTTTATTTAACAGGTTTTTTGGACTATTAGGATACAGTCTGCCGTTTTTGAGGTAAACGTTTTTTAAGATTTCATTTTTTGCTTCAGTCTTATTCTCAATCTTATCAAAAATTTCTAGATACCTAGACCTAATTATTGAAAAATAGTCTACTAAAATGTAGGCAATCTTTTTAGAGCTTAGAAATTCCTAATGAAAACTAGCTATATCGAAAGCCTTTTATTAGGACTGCTGGAATATTTGCAATCCTCGAATGTTAGAAATTTATTTTTCAGAAACATCCAGAAGCATCGGCAAGGCCAAAGCCCTACCCAACCGCGCTTTTCTATCAAAATTAAAGTGAATAAAATAAAGTTCAACGTAAGAAAAAGTAAGTAGTAGTAAGTAAATAAAGAAATAAATAGCCTTTTCCAAAATATTCTTGCGATAAATGCAATATTTCCTTTCTAAATATTGGTGTAAAACGACGAACAAAAAATTTTCAATGTTTTGGACTCATTCAAGATTTGAGGGGTACGTTAAATTTGATTTACATAAGCTAAAAAAGTAAAAAAGCTAAGGTCCCACCGAGATTTGAACTCGGATCGCTGGATTCAGAGTCCAGAGTGCTAACCATTACACCATGGGACCTAATATGAGGTGACGCCTACGTCACGGGTATATTAAGGGAATGAAGTATAGTGGTAGCACTTTACATACAGGGTCACTCAAAATTGCTGGCATTCTTTTTAAATAGGTATGAGGTTTACGTGGAAAGTACGAGAATATTTTAAAGTAGAAAAAGTGGCACGATGCATTCAGACTAATATTTGTTGACCATCGTGTGAGCGTTATCGCAAATTTTTGGTTAGTTGTTAAATTGTGCTCTTCAAAACTTAAAATGTGGAAAATTATCACGATGCCTTTGTTTGGAGAACCTTTAAAATCGGGATACATATTATCAAAGATGTGTAAATCGACACACCACAAAAAATTGAAACTTTATAACAGTTTAAAGTTATAGAAACTGTGAATTTACATTTTTTGTACTCCGTTATTTGCGTTTGTTATTTATTGAAAAATCTACTCGGGGGCTTAAAACGGTTGTCTACAGCGCAAAAACTCCCCCTTTGATTTTGATTTTCGGTTATTCTAGGTCACTTCTAGGTTATATTTTGTTTGTCTGGATGACTGTTAGTTACAAGTTTCTATTTTCTTGTGTTAAACTAGCTTATTTGTGATTTATAAAATAACACAGATTGAAAGATAAATACATCGGTAGACTTTTCCAAATAAGAGCCGGCCGGTCACCGGTAGAATTAAAATACCTGAATTAAATGTGACTGAAATCGGCAAATAATGCATATAACCTGCGTAATTTGCAGTGATCTCTTTGCTCCCAGTGCAGATATTTATTCTACACAATGTGGGCACATTTTCCACTTTACCTGTTTACTGCAATGGATGGAAAAGTCAGTATGTATAACATAAGAATAACATGTTTTTAACAACGGATTGGTTTTCGCTTTTCAGCTCTAAAACATGTCCACAATGTAGGAACAAAGTGTCGTCGAAAAACCTTATTCGTTTATTTGTTAATGTTGCTACATCCCAGGGCTTGGAGGCTGATGTCACATTGTTACAGCATAAATTGGACGGTGTAGAATTTACTATGAAACTCAAAGATCAAGAAATCAAGGCTCTTGCCGTTAAAAATCAGGAAACGATGAAGCAAAATAAATCGTTGAGGTAATCATGAATGATCCAATTAGACTTGCAATATTATAGCTTGCTTTTGGTGCTGGTCCATAAAACCAGTATGGGGATATTGGGAACCGCAAATGGTGCAAAGTTGGTAAAACCGAGAAATAGCTGCACAATTGAAATGCAACTTATTTGAAAAATACTGCAGTTTTTAACGATTTCGCCGATATTTGCTGTTAACTATTCAGTTTCACTTTGATATTTTAGCTTTCCGTAGTTATCAGACTTACTACTTATCAATGCTTTCCATTAAAGGGCTTTGTTGAAGTCGTCCCATTCTCAAGTTGTAATTGTGTGTATATTTCCTCCTAGACATCATACCAAAGAGTTAGAACACGGAGAAAAACGCTTCGAGTCTATAATAGCCGCCCAGAAAGAACAGATTAAATATTTCAAAGATCAAGTTCAAAATTATGATCGATTACGAGAAGAAAATGTGCGACTGAAAAACGAAATGAAATCCTTAGATCAGATACAAATCGCGCTTGGTGGAACAAGGCAACAAGCTGAAGACATTATTCGGAATGAAAACAGCATTGAATCGTTGGGCCTTTTAGCTTCGATTTTAAAAAAGTACGTTTACAGTGGTCGAACATTAGATAAGTAATTCGGATTGATTTTTTGTTCTTTTCAGATCTTTGCTTGATTCTGATAGCAGAAAAAACTTACTACAAACTGAACTGAGAAAGTCTAAAAATGAACTAACCCGAATCAAACGGCAAGAAGCAGACCTGCGATGTGAATATGAAAGTATAAAGTAAGTATTGCATATGAAACTTAATGAATTTTCCTTTAGAAAACTAGACTCGAAAGTACTCGTTTAAAATATCTCACGGGAAAAAGTGCGTTCATTTTTATATTTATCAGTTATAGAAAGGGAAAATTTTCGTATATGATTCCTGAATACTGATTGTTACGTTTAGGCAACAATTTGAATCTCTGAAGCGCAACAGCGAGAAAGAAGTAGCATTTTTAAAAGACAAGTTTTCGCAATTGGCATCCAAAGCAACCCAAGGCACCGTAAATGAATCATTTAATAATAGCATAAGAAGATTGATTAAGGAAAGTCCAGTGAATTTCCATCGAACCCCTGTGTGTAACCGAAGCAGTCAGGATTTTATAGATTTGGATGACTGTGTTACACCACCGTGTTCAGGTGCATCACAATCAGTGGTAGGTTTTGAGCTAATGTTAACCACTAAGATATTATATGGCTACTGTTAAATTTTAATATTTAATAATAAATTTTAGATCGAAATTAACGATTCGTCTCATGGAGATATAGCAGACGACTCACCTCTTCCCGCTTCCAGCATGGGAATGTTTGGAATCCAACGGGCTAAAATGCTTGGCACTGACACTAGCTCGAAGGTAAGTGAACAAAATTTCAATAAAACGCAAAAAAAATTCTTAATCAATTGTTACAGTTCTCGATTTTTAAATCGAAGCAACCGTCTTTTTCGGAATCTACTAGCAGTAACAAACTGAAAAGTAACAGTGTAACATACGACGGTTTAGGTGGATCCAGTAAAGAGGACATTTTTCCAACTCCAATGGGCGTGAAAAGATCAAGACCATTAAAAATAACATTATCTAAATTGAAGAAATTGTCAGCTGATGCAGGTAGAAGCAGAAAACCGGCGTCGGTTTTTACCAATTTTCTTGATTTATCTTAGATGCATTAATATAGTGCTTTAATGTAAGTTTTTTGCAATGGTTTTACATTGTTCTAAATGATTATGCTGGTCAATTTACTTAAGTATTTTTTACATGTACCTTTTTATTTATCTGATAATTATTTTTGTGAACACTGAACCATGGTTTTTTGTTATCCTCATTCCTCGTTAATTCTACTGAACGTTTACGGGTATTTAGTCGATTCTGGATTTTTTGCAAATTTTTAAAACTCAATATGTAAATCCCGCTGTAATTTTGCTATGCCTATTTAAGTTTTGATCTAATTCTAATCCAAAAATATACTGTATTTACGTTTACGTTAACAATTTTTGTTTTTCTCTCATCTTTACCGCTTCTCCCATTAAATACTGCAAACCATTCGGTTTCTATTTTAATAATAATTTTATTAATAATTCTATTAGTGTTTTATTTTACCTTAATGAAAATACGTTCGGAAAACGAATTTTCTGTAAAACAAAATCTTTATGGAATTATTTTTCTAAATTGAATAGGCAAGTGACATTAAGGCGAACGGCACTGAGTAAGAGCACAAAATAAGCAAGCTTCTACCATTATCAGGAATTAATTGAGAATTATTTCAACTTGGTCAACTTGGTGCCTTTTGCAGGTTTATGTTTGAAAATGCATTTATCTGGTTCCAAACGGGTTGCGCACTTGTGAAGGCGTGGAATGAACAGAGAAAACTCGTTTTTGAAACCTCCGAAAGTTTCAATTTTCCACCATAATTCGAAACTTATGAATTTATTCGCAAATGGTAATTTTTTATGAGTATTTTTGTAGGCTTCTGTTTCAAAATTCTTTTTTTTTTATATTTTTAAGTTTAATACTTGTGGAAAGCTACTTCAGATAGGAAAAAGTCGCTTAAAAAAACCCTGAAAGTTTGAATTTTTTGAAATTGACAATTTTTAACGAGCGTTTTTGTAGGTTTAAATAAAGTTGAAAATACGAATCTCTAGTATCAATTGAGTTCTTCGATACTTCTGAATCGCATTGAATAGTGAAAAAACGCTTTTGAAACTCCGGAAAGTTTCAATTTCTTACAATAGCGTTTTTTCGCAATTGGACCAATTTTTTATACACTTTTTGTAGGCTTCTGGTTGAAAATTCGTATTTCTTCTACGACTCGAGTTATATACTTAATTTTTCGAAATTGACACGTTTCAACGAGCGTTTTTGTAGATTTCAAGCTTATAATCTGTAGTATGAATCGAGTTAGACACTTGAATAGAAAAAATCAATCAATTGCCAACCGTAATTAAAAAATGTTGGAGAATCTCTTGTAAGAATCGAGTTGGATACTGGTGGAGAGTTGCTTTAGATAGGGAAAAATCCTGAAAGTTTCAAATTTCCATCTTTAGCACGAACTTTTGGGGATTGTTTCGAAATTGGTCAGTTTTTAATGAATATTTTTGAACGATTTTGGTAAAAAGAACAATCGAGGTGGCTACTTGTGGCGGGTTGCATTAGATATAGAAAAATCACAAAAAAATCCTGAAAAAATCAAATTGCCTCTGTTATCAAGAACTTTTGGAGATTTTTTCGAAATTCACAAAATGACAACAAGCATTTTTGTAGATTTGTCTTCCACCAGGAACGTTTCTAGCCTCATAATCTTAATTTAGACGCTCAATGTTTAAATAACTTTTTGCATACATTAAACAAATACATTAACAGTAACACAGAACTGATCAAGGTTGAAATAACTGAAACGTACGTATTGTGGAATTGGTGATTAAAGTGCTTAAAACTAAGAATCTAGAACAATTTTACACCCAGGAAAGTTATGAACAAACCTATTTGTAATATATAGTTTCCTTAAAGCGCAATTTTGCATTATACATTTATACATTTTTTTATTGTTGAGTCAGTGGAATAGAGTACTTAAGGTAAACTTGTGTCGTTTTGCAAGTGGTAAAGTTTCCTTGTATAATAAAAAATAATACATATTACCACAATGATTATAGACGGTACATTTACCAGAACATTGAAAAGTTTCTTGCAGTCGGTGCCAGGCGCCATTTAAATTGTCACAGTTTTATTTTCTATAATCTTGAGTTGTGGCCAGATTAAAAGCCAAACGGTTTGTGTATGCATTAAACTTTGTCGCCAATGTTTCCACATTTGAATTAAAGTTTATTTTTCGTGTGAACAACTGAAAGAATTGAGTTGATTTCAACTATATGGGATACTAAAAATATATTGCGTATATGAAAATTTATTCTGATACATTGAAACGGTACTGGGACAATACAAACCGCCAAAAACCATGTCACGAGTAATTTGGGAGATTATGTTCGTTAATTTACTAAAATTCCTCTGGATTGTCTTTTATCGCTTCCGAAAGATTCGCTGGATTGCTTTCGGAAAAGTTCGCTAAGAGACTGGCTGGACTTTACAGCGATGATTTTTTCATTGGAATGTTGATTTGCGTCTTCACCGCCTTGGTGCCTTGTTACTTTAGTGTCGTGATTACTTTTTGATAAACTCATGTTTGAACAGCGATATATCGAAGGAATGTGTTGATCGGGGTATACGGAACTTTTTAGAGCCCGCTTTGCGGCATTATAATCTATCATGCTTTGCAAACTCGGCGGTGGAAAGTCTGCGAGTAAACTATTACTGTTTAGTTCACTTTCGAAGTTTTCCCTTAAAGCGTTTATGCTTTTCTTGATGTCTTCTTTCGACATGGATTGGAAGGTTACACCGCCATCGCTGTTCAAAGCCTTTTCTAGTAGAGTGGTTAATGATTGAATGCACGATTGAATCCCCTGTTCGCGATTTTTCCTTTCCTTGTCTCTACGTATGTATTCACTGGGGGATATCGATAGTAAATGGTCAACCTGAAAGTATGAACAGTCAATACTCCAGCGCAATTTTTTTCATACATTCGCTGTTACTCTATCTGAAAATGTGTGCCTCAATATAGAATCGCCCTTCGATAACAGCCAGGAGTTATTTTCGCGATTGTATCTTCTTTGCAATTTCGAATTCGTCGGCTTGTATATTTGCGGTCTTTGGAAAACTTCGGGTTTTTTATGAAACACCTGCGTGGCTTGCAATGTTAATATGCTGTGCAAGGAGTAACTATCCGATTCTGAAACATGGTGGATAGTAGTAGAAAAAGCAGATTTTTCTTTAAGTATTCCTGACGCTTCTATTGATATCGTGATTTGTACGAAATGAATAAAAACATCTTTTATTTGCGATGCATTCTGTAAAAGAATTCGCATCTTGAGCTATTTGAAGTAAAATTTAAAAGCGGATTTCTCTTTGGAAATAAACCTATTTATTTTAAAATTTTCTTATGTAAGTAGACAAATGGCTTACCTTTTACTGGGTGTTTTAGTCGTAATCTGGCTGCGGCTTTGGCGTTTGTCCTACGCACCAAAGTGTTAACTTCGAATATTAACAAACAATGTACAATACAAACTACAGAAGCCAATAGGGATTCTATGGCGAAACTAGGAAAGGATATTATACGAACGTTTATGGTACTTGATAGGATTTTTACAATATTTGCAATAAATTCGTCCATTTTTCCTATTTTACCGCAATTTTGACTACGAAATGTGACGTTTTTGAAAGTGACACAATTTTTTTGAAAATTTGAGGTCATCAGATTGGACGCTGAACAGGTATAGAAAAAGTATTAAATCAAATGAGTGAATATTATCCTACACTACCGACAAAAATGGGAATATCAAGTTTTAATCAAAAAAAATCCCAAAAGTTCCTGATGATGGTGCTAAAGAGATTAACTTTTCAGATATAAATCTTCAAAAACGCCCATTAAAAATATCAGGATTTTTTAACCGACTTTTCTTTATCCAAAACAGCTCTTTACAAGTAGCCAGTTCGATCGTAACAAAAGATACGATTTTTTTATTAATTTACAACAAATTAAAGCCGACAAAAATATTTTTTAAATATTCATCAAATTCGAAACAATCCTCAAAAGTTTTGCAGAAGATGGTAAATTGAAAATTTAAGGACTTTTTAAAGTGACTTTTCTCTAGTTGAGCAACCCTTATGGAGATACGAATTTTGAACCATGAGTATGCATAAATTTGATTGACCAGTTTTGAAAGAACGAATTAAAAATTGATCAATTTCGAAACAATCCTCAAAAGTTCCTGCTGAAGGTGGCAAATTGAAACTTTTATGATTTCTTTAAAGCGACTTTTTCCTATATAAAACAGTTCTCCACCAGTATCGAACTCGATTATTACAAGAGATACGAATTTTTAAACATAGGCCTACAAAAATACGCATCGAAATCGTCCAATTTCGACAAAAAAACCCAAACGCTCTTAATTATGGTGGAAAATTGGTATAAAAATTTCAGTATTTTTCAAAGCGACTTTTCCCTATCTGTAAGTAACTTTCCACTGGTAGATATTAAACTCGATTCGTTCAAGAGATAGGAAATTTCAAATGGAAGCCTCCAAAAATACTCATAAAAAATTACCAATTGCGAAAAGATTCCCAAAAGTTCCTAATTGTGGTGGAAAATTGAAAGTTTTAGGTATTAAAAAATGTTAGTTCACTATTCAATGCGGTTCAGAAGTATACCTCAATTCATACCGGAGATTCGGATTTTCAACTTTAAACCTACAAAAACGCTCATTGAAATTTGTCAATTTCGAAAAAATTACCAAAAGTTCTTGATGTCTGGCGCAAATGGAAACTTTCAGGGTTTCAGGGTTTCAACTCAGTTTGTACAAGAGATAGGAATTTTCAAACAGAATCCTACAAAAATACTCATAAAAAATGACCAATTGCGAAAAAATCTCCCAAAGTTCCTAATTGTGGCGGAAAATTGAAAGTTTCCGGTATTTCAAAAGCGCCTTTTCACGTTCAATGCCGTTCGAAAGTATCGAACTCGATTCATTCTAGAGACTCGGATTTTCAACTTTAAACCTACAAAAACGCTCGTTAAAAATAGGCAATTTCGAAAAAATTCCCAAAACTTCTTGATGCCCGCCGACAAATTGAAACTTTCAGGTTTTTTTAAGCGACTTTTCCCTATCTGAAGTAGCTTTCCACAAATATTAAACTCTATTTGTACAAGAGATAGCAATTTTAAAACTGAAGTCTTAAGGTAGTAGTAAATAATATAAATATAAACATAATAATCTCCGTAATTGTACAGTATACTATACATTCACAGTTAATAAAATACATACTAAATTACCAGATTTACTGTTTGATTTATATTAAAAATAATTAAACTCTCCTATCAATAAGATTCCACATACAAAATATATTTAAAGAAGTGCCTGCACTAAAGCCCTGGAAGCAGTAAATTAAACTTCATATTTCGATCAGACGTAGCTCAATTTTTTCATTTAGACGTCTAACTATTTTTGTAATTTTTTCCACCCTCTTTTAAGGACAAAAGTTGGGGGCGTCTCGATGGCTTTCAAGTTTATGATAAAATTAGAATCCGACCGAGAAGACATTACAAAGACGGCGTCGAGCATCTGGACCAAGCGGATCCAGGCAGTTGTTTTTAATCCTCGATGAAAGCCGTCGTTCGGTGTAATTTTCATGTTTTTCACTATATTTACAGTTGACATTGTCGATTTTGTTAATTAACGACTTTCGTCAGTTTTGCAAAATTATATTAGATTCTTTTCCATTAGCTCAATGATGCGCTTGAAGGTGATTGTACGAGTTCGACCAATGTCGCAAAGGTAAGAAAACCTTGCAAAGAGTACTCAAAATAATCAAGCTTTGTTCAAGATGTGTTTAAAAAGTCTATAAATTGAATTAAAATTGCGATAAATTCAAGCAAGAACATTTGATGAATAGAGACCGAAGAAGAAAGAAACCCAAGCTGAACAAATTTTTATGAACATAAAGTTATCTCTCAATTCGCATGATTTATTTTATAAGTTATAAGTGACACAATTTTATACATACGTAAAGCGAAAAGCACTTTAAACAAACAGAATACTGCATTGTTATATAATTAAGATGGAATTTCGTGACTATGGAATCGATTTTTAAAGAATTCGACTGTAGGAACAGTTGGAAAATTTGGTGCGGGTTATGGTTGCATTTTTTAAATTAAAAAGAAATAAAAGAACAGCTACAAAGTAGGTGTGTTGAAAAATAAAGTTAATAGGCGTAAGTTATTTTTGGGTCTCCCTCAAATTTATGATCAGAAAAATCGCAGTAAAAACAGCCCTGTGCCAATGCTTTTTCAAAAAGAACCCCTGTAAAAATATTAAAGGCAAAATGTATATAATATAAAAGACATTTTCATTGGCCTGATCTTTGGTAAAGATAAATTTAACTGTAGATTTGTTTTGCAGTTCGATCATTAGTCAGTTTTCTGAATCAATCACAAAATTTGACTTTCCTATTAGAAGCACGCTTATTTTTCGTTTTCCATCAAATCATAAATAGACCTCCGTTTCATTATAATATATTTGAACCATAAAGTTCATCTCGTTGCATGCCTACCTCATACCTCTATATTTATGAAAGCATCCGCTTTGAAATACTTCTTTCTTCTATTTGTCTTTCCCGTTTTCCACATCCGCTAGGGCTAAGAATACGAGTTGTTTATGTCTCGCCAACAACGGATTTCAGACAGAACATATCGTAATTCATTATAAAATGTTTCTTTTATTCCTTTTTCCGCTTTTAATAAGCAACTTCTACTGTCTAATTATTTTTTGAATAAATCACATGGTTAATTAGAAGTAAAATTATATCAATCTTCCGCATCTACGTCTGTTTAACAAATAAACAAATATAAATATATAACAATACAAATGTTAATTACCTAATATATTGTAATAGTCAACAAATAAATGATAGACAGTTTTAGTTTTCTTGAGAGTGGTTTTTGTCATCATTTATTCCCTAATTATATAGCAACTCGAAGAAGCGCACTTGACTAAACAAATGAAATAAAATGCAAATTCTGCTCACTAAAAATAGTTTTTTTTTGCGGAAAATAGACAACATAGCTAACTTCAGACCTGAATGAGCTTTTCATATAAACAGTACGTAAAAAACAAAATAAAAAATAAAACTAGATTTATTAATATTGCGAAAACCGCTCCTGCTAGTTTAATTAAATTTTAGAGGCTTTGAATACAATTTTATTCGGTTGTACCAGTGCCGTGGGCACAAGTCCGTTCTTAGATGCTTATTAATAACCAATTAATATTCATTGATTTTTTCTGTAAAAAACTCATTTTCTAAGCGTGTGAGCAATTATAATGAGAAAATCCCCTGTTTTTATTGCCGATTAAAGATTAAATCGCTTTATGTGTAAAATAAAAATGGTTTCACGAATTCTTTATAAATCATTCTGTAGACAGAAATCTAAGCGTTTTTGAAATATGGTATTTAAATCAATTTATTCAAAATTCCATGTACCTACTAAAAAATCTTGTAAGGAATGAATCAACTTATCAATCATCTTGTAAAATATCTAATAGCAAAGTAAACACGCTTCCAGTGAACGAAAAATTGCCTTTAATACTAATCAGTTTTCTGGTAACGTTCTATTCCTATTGCCGATAGGTATTGCAGCGATTGAAACGTTTTTTATTTTTGCTGGCAAGCGTCTCTCAAGAGCTACTCATCATCACAAAATTCTAAATTTAAAGTCATTAGCCAGGAAAAAATAATAAAGGGGAAACGCTCATAAAATACAGGATCATCGATCATCAGCTTTAGGGACTTTCTAATTATTTTACACATTCAAGATGTAACTTTGCAAAATATGAACATTTTAGGATCTTCTGGATATTCATAATGCTGGGGTTTCAGTTGAATGGTTTGCGTTTCATATTTGTCTTCTTCAAAATGTTCATTAGGTTTATGTACTTTTTTGGAATTTCATTTGGTAAACTTTTCTTTTTTATTTATTTATTTGCTTTCTATCCCAGATTGATTTTGTTCAGGTTGGTTCTATTTAACGTAGGTATTTATATGATTATCTCTTAACATTTTTCCAAGACTTCGCATTCTGCTTCGTTATTTTTTCTCCCAATAAAATCATCAATCATGTAGAGTAACTCTTCCATAAGGACTGTGTTTTTTATAGCTTCTGCTTGTACTTTTTGCTATTTAATGCTTTTGCGAATTAAAAACCATTCAAGATCTTTGCCGCATGGGCCACATCTACGTGCGGAAAATTAGCACCAGACCTCTGATTTATCAATTTATAAATGCTAGAAAGTTTGTTATTTACTCTGAAAATAATGCATACGCGCCTTGATCTAAATTTAACGTAAATCTTTATTTTTTTCCGCGAACGTGCCAATGCACTCATTAATGCATGCCTGCTAGTAACTTTTCTATTTTATTTTTCCACATGGGAAAACTACCTAGAAAAAGCGATAAATCATCAGGTATGACGACATTTCGGAAAAGCGACTTCTGCTATTGATCTCCGGATTGCATAAGATAAAAGAAGCCATTAAATGCACCATTTGGCACCTTCAAAGATTTTTCGCTTCACTGTTTTGATTCAGGAGACTTGCTAATGGTTTAAACGCTCAAAATCGAGCTTTCTCATAGGAAGTCAAAAACATTTAATCTTTAATGGATGTTGGAAAATTTTGTAATTTTTAATAGAACTAACATAGAGATCGTTCATAAATTTTTTAATATCATTTTTTTCAAAATATTTGAAAATTTCTGACTTCGACTTCATGGAGAACTGTAAAATTATTATTTTGAATTTTTTTCCAGAGAGAAGCAAAATGGTAATCAACAGGTGGTTTCAGTTGAAAATGGCTCCAGTCTTGCAATAACTAACATAAAGGTAATAAGTGATTTCATGTTTAATGAGATTTTCGTCGGCAAAGTTAAGTAATAAAGTTTTTGCTAAGAAATTAATGAGAAAATCGATTTTCTTATTTCGATTTCTGCTTATATACGTATTCCTAAGTTATAAAGCTTACTTAAAGAGTTAAAAAGAGTTAACATAAGAACTGTATGTACTGGATTTTGTGTTAGTGGTTGTATGTAGTATTCTGTGAAATATAGTTCAATTTTTATACGCGAACAGATTTATTGCAAAATGTGGATTTAACAAACTATAAAAATCTTGGAGCAAAATTGATTTTTAAAGTTTCGAGTAAAAAGCAGGAAAAATAGTGGTTTTAAAAGTTTTAGATTCTCTGTAAACCTGAACTTTTCTAACGAGCCAGCATTTGAAAGTGATGATTGATTCATCGAAATAGGGTTTCGCAGCCCAATCGGGAAGTTTTCTTAGGACTTTAGCATTTTGTCTAAAAAAGGCAATTGCTTAATAATTTCAAAAGAATAAATCTAATGGCGTCAAGTCTGGCGATCTATATGACCAACACTCTGAACCCAAATTTTCCATTCTGAATTTCTTCAAGAACTCATTTGAAAAAAAAAACACCTTGAAATATCATAAAAGTCCATAATCGGGAATATTTCTGAACAAGATCCTCATTAATGTCGTTTTCTATGTTTGCCGTATGGACTTTCCAGATCGGTCCCGGATTCACAGGTTTAGAAATCTATGATGTATGGCGTATGGCTAAAGAGTATTAAATGGCAAATTTAAATCTTGGCAAATCGTATGCGGTAAATCACCAGCTCGATGATTTTCTTTTGATCTAAATTCGTATTCAGGTACGGACACAAAGCAATCATGGCCTGGCGACAGAGTATTAAAATTTACCTATTTAAAATAGTTCAGGTACGAAACATTTGAAGATTTTTGGATCTAAAAATGATCCAGACATGTTTTATTTTAAAAAAATTTAAAAAAATCAGCGAAACATCTGAAAAACCAATAATTGAAGATATGCTACTATTTTGTTAAACGTGGAAGTAGATAAACGACGCGGTTAAAACATTCACCGAAGAAAAAGAATAGAATAAGGAAAAAATTGAAAAATGAGTACAATGCTTCATCACATAGTAAATGCTAAGAGAAGCTGGAATAAAAAAAAACTCCAAAATACTCTTGTAAATGCAACAGACAATAGCGGTCCTAAAAATATCCGAAAAGGAAAGACAATCAAAAATACTGGTTTTGAATCTTACATGGAACATTTATCAACATTTTCTAGACAACTGCTGATCACAGTTTCAAAGTTATTAATTTTTTGGATATATATTAACATTCGAATGAAATCGTTACTGTGGCTAAATATATTGATGGTCAACAAAAAAATTTAACTACAATTAATGGACTATTAGACTTAATTTCTGACTGGATTTAAAAGTTAAAAAAACAAAATTTTTTTTTTTTTTAGATTTTTGAACCGTATGACAATTTAACTTTGTTTTAAAACTCTCTAATTTTGGGACTTTAGAAATATTTGTTATATTCAGGACAATACTGAATAATATCATAGCAAGAAACTTGACTTCTTTACTTTATCACATTTAGGCATTGCAGGTAAATTTAAATTGACTGTGCTTCTGTGTAAAACATCTAATTTAAATGTGGAAACATTTTGTAAATTGAACATGAATTCGATGTTACAACTCTACCGAGACCTACTTTGCCATCGCACGTTAGAAAATACAATATTTTATTTATATCTCGCACATATAAAGAAATAATCGCATCCTTTAAGAAAAAAATGGAGGATCGTTCTCATTTATAATTAGGTGTTTACAAGCAGAGACCCGTATTTTATAATTAGATGGAGCATGAGTCTGTACTCGCAAGTAAAATTAGAGACGTTATTAATTGACGATCGGCAACAGGTTGGCGAATGAATCATTTCTTAGTGCAGCGCTCCCAAAATACTAACAATATACAGTGTGGCTCTAAATATTATTTATATACCAGAGTGGGCTCAATACGTGACTAGAAATTTAGATAATCAACCTTAAATAGGTACGAATTGCCAACTTAGATTTACAGTTTTATTATTTATTATTAGAAAAAATCTAATAGGTTTATCAACGAATTATTTTTAGGTACCAGAACAGAATGCAGGAGATAGCAGAGAAAGAGTTCGAAGATTTGCTTTTGACTACTGTTTTGCGGAAGATGCAAGTCAAGATCAAGTAAGTTATTATTCCTATTTGGAAAAAAAATATAATAAAATTAGTTTTTAAAGAAGCTATTGGCTTTAAAGCATTAAAATCTTAATTTGGAAAAAAAATTGAATAACAATTTTTGAATTGCGTGAAGCAATTCATTACTTAACATGACTAACATTAACTAACTAAAAATCACTAAAAGTAAAACTTTAAAAAAAAATCTGCAATCTAGCCAAAACTGAAAATATGTCACACTCATTAAGATTCTATTTTCAACCACTGTTTAAAACAAGTTTCGGAACAATCAAAATATTTACAAATCAGCGATCGCTGTTCACCTGATAAATTTACAATTTGAACTCGAAAGTCAAATAGCTGTTAGCCAATGGTTTATACGGCTTAGTGGCCTCAATTCAGCTAAATTTAGGACTGGTTTGGATTTTAGTAAATTCAATAGAAATATTCACCAAACTTGGTTTTCATAGATTTTTTGAATCAGATTGATAAGAAACTAACAAGTTAAGAGTGTTAAAACAGTATGGATGTGTGATTTTTAAATAGCAACTAAGAAAAACAATACAAAAAATACAACTTTAAAACATTTAAAATATAAAGCAAAATATATTGAAAGCTACAGAACAAAATAGCAATTTCCATTTGCCATGACTTTTCCAAAACTTTTCCAAACTGATTTTAAAAGAAAATATTATTATATAAAATATTATAATGAAATAATTGATTTCATTATATCCATCAGCCTGGCTACAAGAAAAAAATTAACCATTTTCTTAATCCCTTTAGATTTTTGAAACAGTTGAAAATATCGTTGGAACGTCTTTGAAAAAGCGAAATCATTCTTGCGTTCTGGCCTATGGACAGACATCATCAGGAAAAACGCATACCATGATGGGAGCTCCTCAAGACCCAGGTTTGACCCCAAGACTTTGTCGAAGAATATTTAAATACTTCCAAGAAGGCGCCTTAAACGACGAAACGGCCACAATGAAAGTATCAGTGAGGTAAAGAGTGCTTTAATGGAAAATAAAGCCACAAAGCAAAAGTGGTTTTTACTTAYTTCTTAAAGTTTATAAAACTCCTGAAATGAAAGGCAACAATAAGGAATCTTATAAAAAAACTATTCATAAATTTGCTAGGTTTATCAGTCTTTGGAGATAGTATACAGCGTGTACCAATATTTTTTAAATGCCTGATGATTCAGATCTAGCGTATTACCAGTATACACTTTTAATAGGTTATATCGAGTATTTTAAAATGCATTTTTAAATGGGACACTTTATATGCTATATAGAAATGTTGACTTAAGGTGATAYCTTGATATGTTGGTGGTTTAAGTGGAACACCTTCATTTGAACCCAAATTTGAACCATACCTCTAATAGGTTCATAATTGATATAACACTCGTTTAMACTATGSMATTAACATGCTTGATGTAAGAGCGAATGTTTAACAATTCGATCGGATCGAATGCTTATTTTATAACACAAAGCAATCGAACAGAGGAGTAGCTTCAACTTTCCTTAACACAAATTGGCAAAGTTTTATTACCTGGATCATTTCGGCTTCAAACTCACGTTTCACCGTACAAGACTATTTTAGTCAATATGTTAGATTTGTGGGAATTTCGCCAGCTGAACGTACAGATTACCGACAGACATGTGGAGTTACATTTTGTTGAGATGTAAAGTTAATTTATTTACGATTTTCTTTAATTGCTAGTTTTGATCTTCAGTCTTTGGTAACAATTTATTAACTGCTTTGTTAATTTAAAAATAAAGAAAATTTTAGTTTGGGTAAGAAAATGATAAGTTTTGCCCCTGCTCTTGATCGAGAAACCATTCTTATAATCGATCAAAAGAAGGTAGTATTCTAGACAAGTTTTAATCCAATTAGGTACATTCAACCAAAAGTTATTTTGAATTCAATCCTGTACATTTTGAAAATATTATGGTAGTTTCTGATTGGCTCATGTGTGGGATACCCTTCGCTCACCTACTGCGATAACTCGCGGATAAATAAAATTAGAATAAATAATGGCCATGGGAAAAAGACTGGAACAGTGTGAAAAGTCATGAAGCCAAATTGCGTTTAGGTTCAGTTTTAAATGAGATTCGCTAAAGCGAAGAGTGTTTTCAGTTATTACATTCCGTGCTTGTCGGAGTGCGAGAAGTTGGCAAACACGCGATTTGTTAGTTTCTTGCTTTCAGCTCTAGGTACTTTAGTAACATATACATATTTATTATTAACATTATAAATATATATACTCCTAGAACATTTTTCTATCTAATAGTGCAATCAGAAAATTCTGCTTTTATGACTTTTATTTAAGATAATTGAGAACTTCAGAACACTATTAGAAGACGCAAAAAAATTAAAAAAGCTTTTAAACCACTGTCTGTTCAAGGTCTATTTTGCTATTGCTTTTATGAAAATAAAATATATATAAGTGTAGTTCGTTTTTCGTCAAACACTTGCTTCTATTTGTGTGAGTATTCAATTCTTGTTTTCTTATTTTAATTCAGACGTTTATCTTTGCAGTTACTTAGAAATTTACAATGAGAAAGTAGCCGATTTGCTTATTGAAAGTGACAAAAAAGGCCATGGTCATCAGAAATCGTTGAAAGTAAGAGAACACCCCAAAAATGGACCGTATGTTGAAGGTAAATACAATTAATTTCAATATTTAAACGATAAAATAAAATGTTTTCCAAGTCCAATTTGTCAATAACCAGGCTACCTATATGCAAAATCATTCTGCATAGTATTATGAATTTAAATATAGTATAAATAATAAATATACATAATTCAAGTTTAAAATGTAATAACGTAGTATGCTTACATAACTTTCGTTTTCGGCTAGTTTTAAGTAATAAACATTATGCAAGTGAATCAATGCGCATAGACAAATGCTCCTTGTTTTTCCCGTAAATGTGCACTGAAAATTGTAAAATTTTTGATCATATTGAGTTTACTCTAATTAGGGAACGACAATATAAAAAAACAAAAATTATTTAATTAAAATAATTAGTACTGATGGAGGTTTTTTAGGCCTGAGATGATTTTAATGGTTGTGGAGACTTACAATCAAATTAAAAAAACTCAAAACTCAAACATAATTTAAAAAACTCAAATAAAAGCTATTTAAAGCGAATTCAGTTTTTATTAGATTTATAATACAAATTTACTAAGTCAATATTCTTCAGGTTCAATGCTGCTGATCCCGTGATATTGTTGTTGAAATTATTACTCAACTAAGTGCAACATGCAAACTAATATGCATTCAAAGATAAGATTGAACAAATATCTTCACTAATTACCAAACAACAAGGAAAAATGTCTAGAAATTTGAATTTATTTATTGAAATTAATTCGGCTTCAATCGTAAGGAAATAATCTATTTTTTTGCATTTCACTGTCAAGTTCATACATGTATATTATATACAAGAGTAAATTAATTGGATAATTTTAAGTCGATAATGTCTGCGATATTTTCCTCCAAAATTACATTATTTCATGCGACGCCCTGTTATTATATGTTTATATATGTATAATAAAAAATCTAACTAGTGATTTTTGTCTTTTTTGGGCGTAGGGTTGTCTCAACATGCAGTTGCTTCAGACGTCGCCCTTCTTGAACGATTAGAAGCAGGAACAAGTAAAAGGCGCGTGGGATCTACAAACACCAACCCCAGATCAAGTAGGAGTCACGCTGTGTTTTCAATATCATGCGACGGAATTAAGCTACACTTAGTTGATTTGGCTGGCAATGAAAGAGCTAGCAGTAGGGGCTACGGCCCGAATAGGTTCCGAGAGGGCGCCAACATTAATAAGAGCTTAGTGGCTTTAGGGAATGTCATATCAACATTAGGTGAGTATCATAACAATGTTGTGCATTCGATCATTCAAAGCAACTGAGTTTCGGAGTTCAGTAAGACTGTTAAGGTGCAACAATTATTTTTCCTCCCGGTGATGGGGAACCTTTCTTGTATGCGATTTATTTAGATCAGTTATTGAAAACTTTTTGCAAGTTTTCATTGAGCAAAAAGGTTTTGAAGGAGAATTCTCGTCATTCAGAAGGTTGATTAAAGGTTTAAATTTCAGCTTAAAGAAAAACCGTGCACAACTACAAAATACTTCTTTATGAATCTTCGAAAAATATAATCTTCTTTCTTTTGTAATTATTACTTAAAAAAGTAACTTGATTATCTAGACTTATGGATGAACCTGAATTCTCAAAAAATGTTCATAGGTTAATTTATTAGCAAGCAGTGCTGGTTCAGAAAAAATATTCAATTAGACTGTAGTTAGTTGTGTCCAAAGCCAGTTCACACAAAAAGAAACAAATAATTCTTTAAAATTATTTTAAAATAATATATACAAGCTTATTATAATGTGTAATTTAGTCTAATTTCTTTTCTAGATAAAAAGGCGAATTATACTCAATACTTTCCAATTCTCCTCAATCTAATTTGACTATAAGACGAACACGAATGAAAAGCAACAAAACGCGATAAACGTTTTATTTAAACCTTGTCTAATAAATTAGCCATCGTCAAGTACATTTTGAACAAAACAAGTTTTTTATTTTTAATGCATAAACACGGAAATGCCCAGTTTTTCATAGACTTGTTTCATAACTTGTTTAGCATCATGCATTATTGATATATTTGTTCGATGTAGATACAATTCCTAATCAAAATTTGACGAAAATATTCGTTACGCTTTATGTACGTATTGCTTCTAGTCATCACAATGTCGAGATTAGACCGAAATAAACTGTAGTCAGCAAGTTTTTTTCAAATTTCCTTCCCAAAAGAAGTGTAAAACCATAAATATAGACCAAAAAAGTTGAAATAGAATTGGACGGGAAATTGAAAAACTAAAGCTGAATTTCACTACGGTTGATTTGCTAATAACGTTATTTACAGTTAAAATCCTGTGGCTTCCGGTATTCCATTTAAACACAATGTAGGCGCCCATTAGATCGGCTCTAACCCATATTCAAAAATACTACACTTTTATTTTTAACCTAATCCTTCTTAGACATCTTTTCTTGAATGGTATTTTTGATGTAGACGACACTAAGTCAGTGGCATACAATTTGCATTTATTAAATGTTTTGTTCAAAAAAACTGAGGTACTTATTTGATATTTTAGTGCCGGTCTATGGACTATTAGTGGAAAAAATCGCACAAATTCATTGCTTACGGTTTTCAAGTTTTTAACACCCCAAAATAATGCTCAGTCGATAGTCTATTAGTTTTTTAGTTATTTGGATGGAATTATTCATTCACAAGTTAATGCTAAAATTGCTAAGTACACATTTTACTTCCTTAACGGCCCAATAAATAGATGATGCGACGCTGAAATGTGCCATAAAACAAATCCAGCGACCCCGCATTATTTCTGGAGAGAATTTTTAGATCTAAATATGCCGGCGTTAGCTTCGTCGCATCTTTTGAAAGTTCTTCGGCCACAGTATCGTCGCGACATTTCACAGTTTAATTTGCTTTTTGTTTCCAGTGACTAAGGCTTAATTTTTATTTGTAAGTATGATCAAAATTATTTAAATTAGACACAATCACAATTAATAATCAGTTTAAATAAATATATAAAGCATAACCAGCGGCGTAAATCCGGAAACCGACAAAGTCGATTGCATAAGGAGATTTTAACAACGGAAATCTCGAGAATGTATTTTTGTGTTCCAAATCAAGAGATTTGCAGAATAACGAAAAAAGACCGGAATAAATGTTTTGCTTTCAACACCCGGTATTTATGAAAGAATCCACTTTTGGATAAGACGCCAATATTAATGAATTACTGTGTATATTTTATACAAATTGATCCATTGCGGGGGATGATAAATCGCAAAACATCCTGAAGAAGCATATTTTTGTCATCAAGAAGTTAAAATTTTATTTCAAACTAAGAATAGCGCTAATTAAAGAAGTTTGCTATTGTTATTACACATTACCGATTTGTCTAGTTTTCAATAAATAAATAACAAATAAATCCAATAAAAAACACAAATAATGGCTAAATATTTATCGATAAATTAATTGGCAATTATGAGATAGCTGAACGATGGCATTTTCAGTCAAGGGTTTACGAAAATAAATTCGGTTTTTTTATCATCATTTAAGTCATCACCAGATCTCATAAGTTGCGTGTTTCTTTATTCTGAGAGGGTCATAACATAACGCAAAGGAAACTTTACGTACTCGTCGCAATCATAACAATCACTGACACGCTTTAAATTGCACAACAGAGCATTAAAAAAACATTAAGTACATTGAATAAATTTCCTAGTCAGTTCCAATCCATACTAAATCAGTAGATTATAGAACTTTCACTAATTCAAGAAAATCCTGAAAGAATATCAAAGTAATTAACAGATAATGATTATATTGTTGTATTTCTTTTAACATTTTCAGCGGATCATTCGAAGAATTCCTCAAACTCCAGAAATAAATTCGTCCCGTATCGCGACTCGATATTAACATGGCTTCTAAAGGACACTCTTCAGGGAAACTCGAACACAGTTATGATTGCAAGTGAGTTCAGTCTTATATTTAACAAGTTCTATCTTTAAACTAATGTTAACCTTTCTTTATGCATGCATTCTTCTTAATGAATGAAAAATATATTTCATCAAATAGATGAGGAATCTTCTGATGTCAGGAAGAAATGCCTTCGTTTATGTTTTTCAAGGTTAACGCAACCATTTAAAATTCGATAACTATTTCGAACTTCTTAAAAGTTGTAGTTTTCGAGCACAATACAAATTAAAATATTACTAAGTGAATTCTTAGGAAATGTTGAAAAAAATGTGGACTTGAAAGAGCACTTTGCATGTGAAGCAAATATCAGGACGCCGTTCAAATGTTGGCAGTTTGCCAGTTCTCAAAGTTGCGTAGCTCACATTTATCTTCTCTGAAATTCTAGCTATGCGTGTTAATGTAATATAATTAAGTTATAAAACAAGTAATGTGTAGAATATACAGGGAATTAGTTACAGAACTTTGCTGTTTGAGGCCAAACCAGCAAACTGTCCTTAAATTATTGTTAATCAAGTTGTTTGTCGATAACTTTTAAAAATATAGTTTGATAAGAAAAAACTTAATAAATAATTTCGCTAGACTCTAATTCACTAAACATGTTTGTATATTTTAGAAAGGCGTATCATTGCCTATTCATTACCTATTAACTTAATTTTATTTTTAAATGATCAAATCCTGTTTTCACGTGCTTTATAATTGTAATTATTTCAGCGATTTCACCATCAAGCTCATACTACAGTGAAACAGTGAATACTCTGCGATTCGGCCAACGAGCAAAACTCATCGTTTACAAGCCAATAATCGTGGAAGACTCGAAAGAGAAAACTATTAGGGAGCTAAGAAGTGAAATAGCCAGGCTTAGAGAGTTGTTAAGACTGAATAACTCGGTAAGTTCTCTAAGCATTAGAGCATATATTTAATAACATTCTGTTGTCGTTGCAGACTCCTTCAAGAATTCTGTTAGAAACTCCGATGACTACGAATTCAACGGAAAACTTTATAGAGACTGATTCCGAGCGAAGCAATTCTGATACCTTCATGTCTTCCCTTGGTGATTCGTTCAATGTTGTATCAAATTCCCCCGGTGTGGTCAGTGAAAAGGAAAATTCCTTATCGCTTTTGGGCAACCATCATGAAGAAACCCCGATAAAAAATAACCCAGAAACGTTACTCCCCGTTATGAATGTTAGAAGTTCAGTAGAATCCACGCGCTTTAAAAGCCTTGGCAGAACGTACAGTATGGATAGAACGTGCAGCGTTGAAACAGACAATTCAAAATCGTTTAGCTCCTTGGAGTCCCTACAGTCTCCAAAGCATAGCAAGACTGGCACTTCAAGAGACTCTTCTTCAGCTAGTTCTGCTACAAGAAGATTTTCGAGCGGTAGTTCGGGAGCTTCAAGCCAACCAAAGCAAACCGTTCCATTGTTGAAAAGACAACCAGTGAATCGTAATAGCCCAATGTTAAAAACGATCACTCAAAGAAAAGTACTAGTTCAACCCTCCAAGAAGGAGAAGGGCATAGTTACTGAAATTTCCGGTGCGAAGAAGATCGAATCTAAAATTGATACTGGCAGGAAAAACGTGGCTAAACCAAGAGCTCAAATTGTAGCAGCAGTGACCAGCCGACTGTACAATAAGGTACATAAAAAGGACATTGGAACGTCAACCGAAAACCTTTCAGTTGTTTCCAACGAATCCCCAAAAGAGTTATCAATATGTTCCAACGCCAGAAATCGCCTGAGGGAGCTTACTCATAGAGCTCTGAAAGCACACAAAAGTAAAAACGAAGAAACCCAAACGGAGCTATTTCCAATTTTAAGGGTAAAGGAAGTGGCCACTGATTGTACGGATTTAGTGGACGAATCTTCTGCTGCCTCTACGTTGGAAAAACTCGAAACCAAAGACGTGGAAGTCGAATGCACGCTACTAAATCAGTTCATGGAAGGGACATTGAGAGATATTTTAGTACTCACTAGAAGCTGTGGGATACAAACCAATGCAGAGGAGAAATGCAGCAATATATCTTTTACGAAATATCTGACTGAAACTCAAAAAAATCCCATTTTCACTGAAGCCGTTAATATCAATATTTCACATAACTATATAAACCGCACCGACAGTGTATCAGATGATAGCTTAGATAACCACCATGCCAACGTGTCTTTTCCCACGCCCGATTTGATAAGCAATCACAACTCTTTGGAGCAACAACCCATTGAAAATAGTGGAGAATCGATAGAGGCAAAAGTGCGTTATGCTGAAAGCGGTCAGCTGCAAAATTGTTTTGAAAATGTGAATTATATTCCTTCAAGCAAAGTGTGTGCTAGTAAAGCAGACGTACTTACTGTTCCATACTACCACAATAATTTCAAAAGCGTGAAGGTCCTCACTGCTCAAGCACCTGAGTGTATTTTAAAAGACATTTGCAAGGAATACTGCCAATATTTGCCGGAATTTTCTCCTGTCATGGCTAAAGCCCATAAAAAAGACCATCACTCAGACAAGTGCAACAGAAAAAAATTATCCTATTATAAGCCAATTATTCACATGTATCAAGACTGCAGAAGTGAGTTCAGCTCAAGTGAGTCAAGCGAAGAAAACTTTGAACTGAATATTCCCGATTCCTTAGAATACCAGCATAAAAAAGTACAATTTGCGCGCAATGCTAGCAATAAAAAAAACGACCGAGTTTTGAAGGCAATGAAGAATTTTCTTGAAGAAGCTAAACTGTTAATGGCCAACATAAACACTGTTGCACAGGAAAACAAATGCCAGCAGCCGCATCTGGAAGACTTCGATATTGAAGTCACTGTGGATGATGTTTCTGGATTCGAAAACATACGAAAACGAGCGCGCAGGAAAAAACATCAGAGAGAAAGCAACGCCACTCAGACCGAAGCACTTCCATCAATGGAAAGTTCTTTTTCGCAAACATCCGTTGAGTTTCCCCAATACGCATTACCCGTTAACAAATTCGAGAGCCTTCTAGAAGATTCATGCAAGCGGTTGGAACATAAAATGAGCAAACCATCTCGATCGAGACACATCAGTCTGACTTCCGAGGACTACGACGATGAGATTTTATTTCAAAAGGCAAAGTACAATCCGTGGGACTTGAGTCACGTTGAAATAGAAGATTCCAGTCTGGAAAGCAATCCTGTGACATTTTCGGATTATGGAAGCCTCCCCAGACGAACTCACAAAAGGCAGCGAACGCCTACCTGTAGCCCAAGTGCATTTTTAAAACAACTTACCTCAATGAGACGACAGATTATTGAGACGTCCAGAGAAGAACTCTTACAAGGCAGTAGCAAGTGACTACATTTTGGACTAGTTCATATGTTAAGGACATTTATGTAAAGGTTTTTGTAAAGTATTTATAATTATGTTAAAGTTGAGATTAATGGGGTTTTGCTTTCATAAAGTAATAAATAATTTAGTACTTACTAATTTACTGTTTACTTTATTTTTGAACCTGAAGAGCAACGGGAAAGCATCACAGCTCAAGGTAATTGAAATTGGTTGCAAAGTCAAATAATAAAAATGTATTACCTCAGAATGTTTTCAAGCACTGCATGACAATATTTCTTAACTTAGTTCTTAAAGCTTCGTCTCCATTGCATACCACATGTGTATTGTTATCTTCCAATTGAATGAGGGCATCTTCATCTTGCTGAAAAGATAATTTATAATGTTACAACTGTACGCTTTTCAAACTAATTTAATTGCTGTACAGTGAAAAGCGATGTGCCCATTTTAAAAGTTCGTGTATTGTTATGTATGTATGGGCCAGATAGAAAATACTTCCACGTCGTTTCTCTATTTAAACATTAAGTTATTTTCCGTAAACTTGTAGAAAGTTTTCCAAAATATAATTTCACTTGAAAAGAACAAATGTGGTACTTACCAAATGAATTACAACAACGTTTCCTCCTAGAGACTCCACTTTAGCGTCAGTAATACCCTCTTGAAACAGTTTCTGCTTGAATTCGTTTATGTTCACAGAACCCCATTCGTATTTGACATTTTTATTCAGTAATTTCTGATCGTCTAAAATGTCTTGCACCTTATGAACATTGTCTTTCACATTTAAAGTTCCTGTAACTGTAGACAGGCTCAGTCCTGGTTTAATTTCAACGGGGACTATTTTGCTTGCAACGTCAGTTTCTATAAACAGTTGGCCCTGTTTCCTTTTAACAGGCAAATTTATAATCTGTAATTACAACATTACTAGTGTTCTTATTCGGTTATTCTGATCTTACCTCTCCCCATTTATATGGAATTAAATTCACTTCTGGAGTGTTGTGAATAACCAGTTCTGTAAGATTGGGGGCTGAGACGGGCGGCTTTGTATATGTTTCCGGCACAACTAATGTGGTTGGTTTAAGATCCTTTATTAGCTTATTGGCTTGGGTAAAATTAAGCGAAGTATCTATAGCGCAATGAGCTATTTTCATCTGAAGCGGTTGGTATGGAGCCAACGCTTCTATATAATCATAATCAGGTTCTAATAGAAAAAAAATACAGCACTTTATGAATTTTGAACATTTAAATTCTCTACTGACCAGTAAATACTATGCAGTTTTTAGGATTGTTGCCCCATAACTCGATAAACTGGACAACATCGCCAAACCTCAAACTTGGGTGTCCGCAAAAAACGACACAAGGCTATAAATAGTAAAATTATTAGTCGCAATATTAAATGTTTGAGTAAAAAGTTCCTACCTCTTGAAATTCCGTACTGAATCCATCAGAGTATATGTGTTTGAAATGTTTCAATTTTGAATTTTTCACTAGTAAGGCATGGGGAAATGGTTCATCCGGAACATAGACCTTCAAATGAATTATTCGTTAGGAAAATCAGATATTTGAAAGTATTATACTACCTTGTTTTGTTTCGCTGTACTGAGCCATTCTGCTAAAATGTTAGAATATGCTAGTGAAGTGTCTGCAACTGGTGAGACAAAGAACATGGGACAATTGGACACTCCAGACTCCTGCATTTTAGCTGATAGGCATTCGAATAAATCATAGACTACACCGCTTGGATAACATGGTATTAGAACATTACCGCCTCCACGTAAAGTTAAACCTGAAATAAACAACAATTGAAAATAACCAGCATTTTTTAAATCTTTAACCACGTACTAACTACCACACACAGAACTCCCAACATTGAATCCGGATTGCTAATCGGTGTTTGAGTTAGATCTGTCATAATGAAAACATCGGCGTTTTTTAAGGCATTGTGATCCATCGGTCGCGGATGTGTTGTGAGCGTACTGGATCCGCTCAGATACACAATTTTTTCGTGATCTGACGAAATTATCCAGTTTGCTGATCCCAAACAGTAGCCGGAACTAGCTGGAATTACTTGCAAAGCTCCATACACGTCCTACAAAAAATATTTTTCACAGCTACACGCTCGAAGTGCGCTTAAAAATACTCACAATTTTCTCGTTGTAACCAACCATTTGTATTCTTGAGAGACTCGCGTTGACGCTACTCATATTATAAATTTGTTTCCATGATTTCGGCATAAATGCTTCTTTGAATGGAGAGGGACATTTGTGAACATAGTTTTTCCATTGACTAGAAAATGATGACTTGGGACATTGTTCAATGTAAATCACTAATTCTTCTAAGAGCAGTCTGCAAATAATTATGTAGTATATAAACAAATATATTCGTTAAACGAATAAAATCAAAGGAGCCTTAATTTGTCGAGACTTAGAAGTCGAAACTTCAGTTTTCAACATAAAAATCCACAAAATTTAAGTGTTTCACTTTACCTTCCGATATGTAAAGTAGGCTCAGTAGCATACACTCGACCTCGAAAGCCAGTGCCTTCAGTAACAAAAGGCAGGGCCATCATGCACATGTAATTTGAAATTAGGATCACATCAACTTGGGCAAAATCAATTAACTTGTCAAGAGGAGGACCAAACTCTGGAGGTGAATCAACAAAAATCCTTTCCCCATTTTCCTTCAGCTCCTGAAACCATCATTTAATGAGGGTATTTTCGTAAGAACAGACACTAGATCAGAAGTGTGGATTTTATTAAATACTTACCCCTTCTAAATCTGGATCTGAAACATCCGGTGGCATGTAATTACTCAGATTAAGCAGTCGATTTGACGGTACGAAGGATAAGGGCAAAAAATTCAAGAGTGACTGCATTGATAGGCCACAATCTAACATAACTGTTATTTCCCGGAATGTAAGTATGTGGCATGGTTTATTGGGGTCGTTACTCAAACAGTACTGAAAATGCGGAATTAAAATTGCTCATATTAACTGTTACTTTCATTAGCTTACATTCAAAGTTGTTAGTAAAAGAATTATGTACAGGGTGAGAATATTTTAACTTGAAATGAGTCAAACTAATCAATTATCTATCAAGTTTTTTTTAAGTTTACAGGCATTTTTCAGTTGTCGCATCAAGGGTAAGTTTATATACAATGTGCAATGTATTTATTCTTATGAATGTATATTTACATTTATAAGCTTACATGTTTGCGATGTAAATTGTTTAAATTTAATCTTATATATTTGAGAGACAAAACTTACCAACTTCATCTTTCGGAGCTCTTTCAAAGCAATATATTTAAAATAACGTTCTTTACTGTTTATAAGTTGTATGCATTGCTTTATAATATATATTAAGACAAACAAATACGCAGAATTCGAATCACAACAACTTGAGAAATAGGTTGAGTTGCGAACTCTTCTACGTATAATTTTCCGACGTGATCTGCCAACGTCGGATGGTCTTGAATGTTGTTTTTTTCATCAAAAATATCCTTTTTACCGTTATGGTTTGAACAAACTTGTTCAATCAAGAAAATATGAATTGAACTGATCTTTAAAGAAGAATTTAAATCATTTTTCTTGAATTTAACATTTGAGCTAAACAGTACAAATAATTTAACGGGTGGAAATTAATATTAATAAATAACTTTTTAAATATTGTTCATTCAAACTAGACCCACATTAAAGAATGAAAGAATCAAGTAGCAAATTAGTTTCCAAATCCTTGTTAAATCTCATTTTGTTTTTCTGTTTATTTTTGTCAAATTTGTATAATCAATACATAATTAATTCAATAAAAAAATTGACTCCTAATTAATTATTTACTAATTGGCTTTAATTTAATTCAAACTGAAATCAAAATCGTTGGTCTTTTTGTACTCGAACTGGCAACACTACAATTGCAAGAATGAAGAAGATTTTACATATGCCATTGTCACTACGTTTACAAATTCGACATTTGAGTATTCAAGAAATACTTTATAATTTAGAAACATTTTTTAAGGATATTTAATTTGTATCGTTGAATAATTCCAGAAGAAAAATGGTAATTCTTTAATTAAAAACTGTTTCTATTTTTACAATAAAGCAGCAACTGCTGCAGTTTTAATATTAAACCGTGCTATCAGTGCTGTTGATAATAATCCGCCTCTTTTCAATTAATTTAATTGTTTGCAGATTCGTTTCATATTAATCCAAAATCGAGCTGGCAAAACACGCCTGGCCAAATGGTACATGAATTTTGATGATGACGAGAAGCAAAAGTTGATTGAAGAAGTGCATGCAGTCGTTACAGTTCGAGATGCAAAACACACCAATTTTGTCGAAGTAAGTCCCCATTAAAGGTAATACATAAACCATATTTAGGACTGTTAATTCTCTTTCAGTTTCGGAATTTTAAGATTGTTTATCGCCGTTATGCAGGCCTTTATTTTTGTATATGTGTAGATGTGAATGACAACAATTTATGCTACTTAGAAGCCATACACAATTTCGTGGAAGTCTTGAACGAATACTTCCATAATGTGTGTGAATTGGATTTAGTTTTTAATTTTTACAAGGTATACACGGTGGTGGATGAGATGTTTTTGGCTGGCGAAATACGAGAAACATCGCAAACCAAAGTTCTTAAACAACTCCTTACGTTGAACAACTTGGAGTAATTTTCAAAGTTCAAGTTTATGTTTTATTTAGAATTATTCAAATTGTATGATATTGTAATAGAGCAAACTTAGCAAGTCAGACAGACTAATGTTGGAACAAATACTGAATTGTTAGAAACAAGTGTAAATAGATGTGCTGGTGTTTACCTAATCTGATCTAAATATACGTGATTTTGGATTTTGGTCTTATCGTAATTATTTTAAGAAATAACATTCATTTGAAAAATGCTCTGTGGTTTCTTAGATGTAAGACATGTATAGGTATTATCTAAGTTAACTGATAATTATTCCTTGTATTTTATGATTGATATACTACATGTTTTGTAAGAATTAGCTTATTATTATTTATTTTTAATTAACGGAGCTTTTCGATGTATAATTTTTAATCGTCAAAAATCCATATTTAAAGATAAAGGCGGGTGTACATTTAACTTAGGCATTATATATATTGAAGCGTATAGACAAAGTATCGATATATCTAGTTTTAATTAGTGGATAATATAATCGAATTGCTCGAATACTCATTGGAAATCTGCCTGTATTGTTTTTTTTATATCTGATGTTCCCAGTTAGTTTTCGATATGGAACTATAAACTCTACATTCCATAGATTGTAATTCAATAAATTCACCCCAAGTGGTTTTTATCTCGTTAGTATTTTCGTCGCTTTTTATATTCGCAATATATTGTTTAATTTGTTTATTTATACTATGAAACGTTATTTATTTCAATAAAATATGTAAGCTAATTGAAAAAGTGTTAAAAACCAACCAATCGTAAACCTGATTTCTTGAAATCTTCACAAAGGTGGATAAACGGGAAACAAAGCATTTCACTTTCCTAATGAATGAAAATTATCAACTGAACATTTCATCCAAGAGATGCGAGGAAAAACACGTTCTGTTACAAATGAATCGTATGGAAGTAACGTGTTTTTGGTTATCCACTTTTTTAATGCGCGTGTTTTCTCTTTCCCGTCCCACGTCCAGAGAAATATTTTTTTGAAGAATTACACATGCAATTTTGAGAAATAATGAGTCAGACAGTAACACGTTATGCTTACAAATATCTCATTTAATTTGATGGTACTGCCGCTTCAAACCCAACCGATCAACAATTATTATGAGACATTCTTGAAACGCTGGTTTATGTCTGGCCAAGAAAACCAAAGAGAAAAGAAAATGTACGCATTTCAGTCTTCTGCAGAACAGAAATATCGCATCTAACGTGAACGCGTTTGGATGCGGCCCATTGCCTGCACTAATGACGTCTGCGGCGCGGCGAATTCGTCTCGGCACAAGACCCCTAATAATTTTTCATATGCCTTTCTTTTGCTTAGATGAGCATCATTTCGAATGGAATTTGTCAATGACAAAGATACCAGCTCAGTATCATCAATAAAAAAATAATTTTGTCATCCTACAGATAGGAACGGGTAGGAAACAGACTACCCGTCAACCGAACCGTTAGAAAGAGGTTTTTTGTTAACGAAGTTTATTCATTTCATTCATTCATACTCAAGTCGTTCAAATATTTCATTCACAGTAACCTGACGTTGTATTAAACTTTAGTACCGTCTTCTTGGTTGGTTTGTGTGCAATATTGCGGTGTAAAATGTTCATCTTTGTCGCATTGAGTAGATACTCTAAATTTTAGTCGGATAACTTCTCTTGTCGAAAGGTTCCTCACGAATGCACAACAAATTTTCAAACTTTAAGGCAACTTTTACGAAGAAAATGATCGCCTGGCTATGAGCATCTTCTTCACGGAGTTCTTCGAACAAAAAGCGCTGGAATGTTTGTGTTTTTAGTGCACAGTGTTTGCGTTGATTAATTTCAGTCCGACAATATAAACAAATACGTTTTTATTATCTGCCTCGTTCGGCCTGGATAATAAAAATGGTTAATAATGGTTATAACTGATCTCAGAGTATCCAGAATTTTTTCTATTATTGCGCGGTAAGAAATGACTGAACGAGACAAAATATCACAGTGTGAAGTAGAATTGTGTTATCTTTCATCTTTTAGAACTTGACGAATGTAAAAACGCAATACCTAAATTATATGTGGATATACCTAACTTTTATACTCATCGTGTAATAAAGTGTTTAATTTATTCTCCTAGTTCAACCGAGTTCTGGTATGAACTTATGAACGTTACAGTATTCCTACACAAAAAATATTCAACTTAAAATATTGGCATTTTTCTTAGGAACTGATAAATTCAATTATTTTTTTTTGTTCGATCGTCATAATATTATCACGGACGTGATGAAATGGTCAAGAGTTTCATTCGAATCCAGAGTTAATTATATCTGCTGCTCTACAAATGAGTTTAATTATAAAAAAAATATTACAATACTACAATATAGTATGAAATAAAGCTATTTTATGATTTTTGCTTCATTTTTGATTAATTGGTTGACTGCCACTTTGAAAATGTATTTTCAATAGGAAATTGAAAAATTGATGATTAAATTAGATAAATTCTTAAAACCTCCTTGTTTTTTGTTTCAATTACAATAATGTGAAGATTATTTTCTTATTTATTTTCATTTATTAATTCAAGTGCCACATTTATGTCTAATCAATGGATGGGTAGATTATATAATTTATCAGAATTTCTCACATTTTATGGAATGTTCTTTCTCATCAAATACTAACCATCTAAAAATGTACAAAAATTTAGAAGTTTAGCAAAAATTTTTTGGAAACCTCTAATGTCTTAAAAGCCACTTTAATCGCAAACTTTTTCCATAAGTTTTATTTCCGAAAACGCGGTTTATTAAACATAAAATTCTAAAATAAGTTTAGAAGACTAATAAAAAATTTTCATTTTCGTTTTTAAAAAATCAGACATTTTTTTTGTGATTTGAGTGAAAAGTTCGACGTTGGAAAGGCGAAGTGTTTTCTATGGGGTGTGCGAATTTTATGTTGTTACGCGATCTAGCTTGGGACAGAGAATTTTGAAAGTTGAGCGCGCCGCTGAGGAAAAATATGAAATTTTAATCCATCATTTACATGACCAGAAAAAAATCGAAATTTTCTTTAAATTGAGCGAAAATTTCAGCGTGAATAGCGCCAAGTCTCTTCTATAAGATACGCAAATTTAAAAGCACTATCTGCATTGGGTTGGAAGTTGAAAGTTAGAATGAGAATAAAAAAATTAGTAAAAAAGTACGTGGTTGCCCGCCCTATTTTAAAAATTATCAAGCGCCATTCAGATAGCGACTTGAAATTTTTTTCATTCATAGGCAATGTTTTAGTGTACAAATTTGGAAAATTTAAATATAATTGTAATTAAACCTGATTTTTTACAATTGGTATATTCCGTTGGAATAATAAAGCCTTTGAGACAACTGCACCTCCTTCTTGAAAAATTCGGAACTCCTAAGATAAAGCAGCGATTAAATCTGCAGTTGCTACAAATCGCAAAGAAATCCCAAGATAGCTTGAGTTTTGCAAATTTATTAAAATTTGCTTTAAATATAAACGGTTTCAAAGAGTTGCACCCATTGCTTGAAAATTTCCTACTTTTTAAAATGCAGCTGTCAGTGACTTGAAAATGTTTACTATCCATAAGGAATATTTTACCATAAAACTTTTGAAAATTTCCACAAAATTCCCCACAAATTTGAATTTTCCAATTTTGTAAATTGTGATTCGTAAATAAAGATTTTCCCTCAACTCCACGCTCTGCTTTGAAAATTCGTATCTTCTACGACAGAGCAACTCGGAGTTTTTAACATCAATAGAAAATGTTTAAGCTTAATACCCTATGAATCGCAATTGAAATCTCGTGCAAACGATTTTTGGCAGTTTTCTAGATTTTATTAAAAATATGAGAGGTTTTAAACAGTTGCAGGCGCTGTTTAAATAATTCGTGCCATTTCACACAGAATATGTAGAAACTTCAAATATTTACTATTGTTACTATAGCGAATATGTGACTTTAAATCCTCGGAAAATTTCAAAAAAATTGCGTACCTACAAATTACATTTTTGTCAGCTTAATTGTACATAATATAAATTCTGACCTGCAAGTAAAGGTTTTCTCGCAACTGCAGGCTTTGCTGTAAAAATTCGTGTCCTCTGGACAAAAGCAGTAAAAAATTTGTAGTTTTCAGCACCAAGTGGAAATATTTAAGTATAAAACTTCTAATAATATCACTGACATCTAAAGCAAAGTTTACTTTTGGCGATTTTTTAAATTTTGCTCCAAAATCAAGGGTTTCAAACTACAAACAGTGGCACTCTCGCTTTAAAAATTCGTACCTTTAACCTAGGACAACGACAAGATATTTTTACTATCTATAGTAATTTGTATACAAATCCACTGAAAATGCTGATCAAATTCCGCGTAAATTTGGGAAATTCTGATCTGCAAACGAATGTTTTCTCGCAACTGCATGCTCTGTTTGAAAAATTCGTATCGTCTACAACAGAGCAGACAGTAACTTGCAGTTTTTGCGACCATTAGAAGATATTAAAGCCTAAAACCTGTACGAATTGCAAATAAATCGCGTTAAAACTTGACTTTTGGGAATTTTTTAGATTATGCTGCAAAAATTAAGTGGTTTAAATAGTTACACGCGCTGTTTTAAAAATGTATTTTCAAGTAGAGCAGGTAGCGACTTATGTTTGCTGTTGTTTATGTTGCGACAAAATGTTTACAATTGATAGCAAATATTTAGGTAAGTATAAATCTACGGAAAACTCTAATAAAATTCAGCGAAAATTACAATTTTGTCAGTTTGGGAAATTCTGATCTGAAAATAACGTGCTTTTTCTTTTTGGCAATTGAGCGCTTTGCTTTAAAAAATTCGTATCTTATTGTATCTGGTAGAGCAGAGTAGTAAGCAACTTGCAACACCAATAGGAAATATTTAATTATAACACTGCTAAAAATATCAATGAAATATCTATAAACTTGAGTTTGGCGATTTTTAAATTTTTGTCCAAAAGTGAAGGGTTTCAAATAGTTGCACGTCCTATTTTAAAAATCCGTACCTTTTAACGCAGGAGAGTCAGCAACTTTTAATTTTTACCATCTATAGCAAGATATGGTCAACTGAATATTCACATAAAATTATTAACGCATTTGTATTTATTAATTTTATATTAATTATTACAAACACACGCACCAGAAAATATGCAGATTCAAATTTCAAATACAGAATTGCGAATGATCAGAAATAAGTATCGGGTGTTTCTTATTATAAAAAAAAATCCCACATCTATTTTTAGTCGCTTGAATGTTTAAAGTGGTTATATCTATTGGAAAAACTGTGAAGAAACTTCGAAAACTGAATAATGTGTACCTGCAATATTCCTTTTTATACTAACGTGTGGGTAAATTATAGATATTTGCTTTTCTTATGTTTGTTATAATTTATGTAAAGTTGTGTATATTCTTGTGTAATGTTCTGTGTAGAGACTGTCGCTTCGCTTTGTTCCAACTGTTCCAACAAAATTTTCTTCTACTCAATTCCGTAATTTAATAATAATTTAATACGTAATGTAATAATAATTATGTATAATTTTGATGCTTATTTTGAAAAGGCAGTTTTTTAGTTTATTTCAAAGTTTATAAGCTACGACTATGCTTGAAGCCGATCTTTTAAACTAAATAATCTTTGAACCTCGAACCTGCTGATGAATGCGACATGAAATGATACTACATTTTATTTAGTGTAGTCGGCATAAGAGGACGTATAATGATAGTTAAATCTTATAAAATGTGTTGAAAATTATACCTATAGGTAATCTAGAATTTCTGGTCGTATTTTTTCACTGGGTCATAAACATGTCTATTTTCCTTTTAGTCCTGAAAGTGGCTTAAAATAAAGTCGATAGGTTTGGCGTTCTCAAAGATAGAATTACCTAAATTTTGTAAGCTGATTTGAATAAAATCTATTTGAGTAATGATATAGTCGATGCAAAATATGCGTAAACCGACTGGAAACTCACTATTACTTAATTATTTCAAACTCTCAATTTTCAATATTATTCTTTGAACTGCGAGTGTTTTCTTGGAATAATGACGAAAAAATCACTAATATTGACATAGGTATTTATTAACAAAATGCATTCTGCTGGCGAACGATTGCCAGCGAGAACTGTAAAATTCACATCATTATTCATACATCCATTCCCAAAGCCGAACGGAATTCATCCACCACATCCCTCCCTAACGCTTTTAGCAGCAGATAAACCGACTTCAGACACTCTGGTTATCCGCCAATCCGTTTGCTTTGACGCCTTTTCGCTTGCCTCATTGGTTCGTAACATCCATTTTACAACGACAAGGCGGGCAGCAAAAAGAATTTCAAAACATTAATATTGTATGAAAGCCGTGAAGTTCCACTCAAATGGTTACCGAGGCTTAAGCGTGAAGCGAGGGCATCAGCCGCAAAATTGAAGCGTTTTGAGGGTTCATTAAGCGAAAAGAAGAGGAGTTTCGTTTCCGGGTGGTTTGAACTCGGATTGTGGTGATTTTATCTGGCTAAGCGCACCGATTCGCTTGGAAAAGTGTAAAATTGGTTCATCCAATGTGAAATGTGATATGTCTTGTTGTTACAACTTTTCAACTCGAAAAATTCTACATACAGACGTTTTTCCCAATTTTGCTGAAGTTTACTGGAACGCAGATTTTGTACTTTTGACTCTCAACTAGTCAGTATTAGCAACATGGATAGTGGTAAGTTTCAACAATTTCAATTACTTGAATTTCTGGGGCCGGGGGATTTACTTCACTTATTTTCGATTATCGACTGTTGCCTTCTGCAGCCTAATTTAATTGATATTACTTCAGCATCAGTTCTTATACGGCAATATATTAATTACTTACTTCATTGCTTCATTAGAAAAATAGTAATAATCTACGAACCGCATCAACATATGGGAAGGAAACGATTGGACTAAGCGGAACCATAAATCAGAAGTAATCAATGCTAAATAAAATAAAATACCCGACTAATGCACAAGTAACATCGACAACATTTACAAAAAAATTGTATGTAAGTAAATATATTTGCAAGCCGCCTACAATTTAGGTTCTTAAAGACTGTTAAGGCAAGAAATGCTTTCTATATAGTTATTTGAGATGAAACGTTTAAAATATAGTAAAAAAAGCTTGCCGAATTTGAGATAACCGGCATATAAATAAATCAAACCTACAGAAAAAAACTTGCGATCGATTGTCTTCTGGTTAGCAAGTGTTTAAATAAGTTGTGAAATATCGGCATTTACTTAACGTCGGATAACTTTAATTTGGCTGAATTTCCTTCTCGTAAATATTATAAATTTAACAACTGCAGGAAAACACCTCGTGAAAAACCTATAAAAAGTCCAATATTTTGCAGTAAGTATTTAGCTGTTGAGCTTTTTCAAAAATGTTTGAGTCCAAAGCAGGCAATTTAATTCTCAGATTTATTTCGTTATTGAACAAAGCAAATATATTATTTTGTATGCATGTAATTATATCTACTTGTATCTAAGTCCTTAACAGCTTGTAGCTCTAATTATTTTATATGATCAATCTTTTTATCGACGAATCACTTGAATTTCCTTGCGTTTGAATAATTCCACCCAAAATGTCTTAGATTATTCACAAAATTAATTTTCAATGTTTAAACTGCAACAATCAACAAAAATTGCCAGATTGGAAAATTTACGAACAATTGTTTTCGTAAATTAAATATAACATATGTTGGGCTTTTTTAAACAGTTCCAGGAAACATGAAAGTATTGTAAAATTAAGTAAGGGTAAGAGAAAAATACACCATTTGTTCTCAGCTAGAACAACAACAAAAAAATGCGGGAATTGAGAAGAAAATTCACTTTGATTTTTTAGGAACTTTCCATTTTTTCTTCTTAAAAGTTTCTATTGTTCTAGACGCGAAATGCGATATATTGCTTCAATGCGGAACTGGAAGGCTGAAGTGTTTAGAATCATATAGACAATGCTTATCATATGCATCTTTACACATTTTAGTAGGAGGAAATTGCTAATTTAAACTTGTCTATCGCACATCGCACGCAATCTTCAATCTGGCCGTCGCAGGCGCTAAATTGTTTTTCGGGATTCAGTTTACCTCTTAAAAATCCTAAAATCTACAAAAATTGACTAATTTAGATGATCAGTGTTTAGAGCTTTCCAATTTGTATGTATGAATGTATACAGACTCAACAAATATTGGGGTTGACGAAAGCAAGATTGATAAAACCGTAGAAATGCAAGAAAACCAAGCAGTTGGAACAGTTTAGAAAATCATTTGGATTCGTGAGTACATAAGACTTCAAATTCAAATTTAAAATATGCTTTATTGCGACAATCTGATATAAAAATTGTATGGACAAAGCGAATAATACATAAGAATAGATCCAAAAGAAAAGCAACAAAACAAAACATAAATGAAACAGTGAACAATACAATCAATAAATCTTTAATGCTCCCAACTTCCACGAAAAAAGTTTGTATCTGTTATTGCAAACAGATAGATTGGAAGATATAAACAGTAAACATCCGAGCTATTTTTCCGACTGAAAAGCGAAGTAAAGAGAAAAAAAATAGTATCAAATCAAGTTGATTTGTAAAGACTTTAGAGTGCAAGTAAATGCAATTATTAACTAATTAAACAAAAACAATTTTATCCTTGAAATTGTCGTTGAAATGGAAAATGGATCTTCAGAGATGCTCGCCAGCTTATGGAAATTGGTCTTTAACAAAGAATTTTTATTTATCATTGTCAGTAACTTGAACTTATAGTTACTCAACTTGCTGGTTTTATAAATGTTTAAAGTGTCTTTTAAGTGCCCCTTTAGCATTGCAAACTTTCTAGTTATTTTACTATTTTTCTTATAATTAAAACTAAAGTGTTAGTAAAAATAAAATACGGCAATATAATGCCGTCTTTTAAAACTGTTTATCTTCAATGAAAAAAACGCACTTATTGGTTTAGAGTCTGATTCTTTGTTTCATTTGAGTATTTTTTGGACGGTGTTTCTAATCTTTATCTTGCAAAAGTTGACCTTTAAAACCGGAATTTTATGCATTTTTTTTTAATTTATGAGAAGAATTTCCTTTGGTTGATTTGTTCCGTTCAAGATCCGATTAAATTAGCAAATGAAAGGTTTTGGCCAAAATGAGAAGCTGCTTGGAAATATTTAAGGCGACGAATGTTCAAGTGCCGATACTGAACTCATTTTATCTCTATGAAAGTATTGAAATTCTTTGTTTGCGATCTCCAATGTCCCGATATTTTCATTACAATGTGTTGTTTGGCTTCAGCTACTTTTTCGAATTTGAACTAGTTTTTTAGCTTGATTCTAGTTAGTTCTTTTTTTTTTAGTTTTTAGCTAGTTCTTTTAAAGTGATTAAAAGTTTTCTGATTTTAATGTCTAAAATTTGCTGATTAACGTTGCCAATTTTGGGTCTTAGGGCAGAATAAGACAATTTAACTAACTTCATCTTAGTCCAAATGTAATTTTAGGAACATGTTTAAATTAAATTCAAATTTACCGTAATTTTTTTTCAATACAATTTTTATAGCGAAATTGCGTTGAAACTATGTAAGTAAATAGTTCGGTTTATACAAAGTAGTTTTTTGAAGTAAATACCTAAGTATATTCAAGTTTATAGAGAAAAATATAATTTATCACCTGATTATTTTGAACCTTTTCTTAATTTTATCGAATCAAATTTCAATATTCACTTCATTATTCTTATTCATTTTCTCACGCCGTATATAAGACTTCCTTTGTAAAAAAATTAATTGAGTCAAAACAATAATTTGTATGATACCTTTTCACCCTTTTCTTTAGCTTCAAGGCTTTACATATTGATTTTTGTACGATTGAACATAAATTAAAATTATAAGCAACTAACTAATCAGGCATAAATTGGAACTGGTTTAGAAGTGTTTTAAGGGTGCATGATTACCACAATGCAAGTTAAAATATAATTTCTAGATGAGTTACAATATTTATTGTCTGATTTATTTTCCTGACTGCGTGTACTTTCTACATTTTCAATGTAGCAAATGTAGAAAATAATTCAGACAAACTCAAGGTTTTCAAGAAGGCAAAGACCTAAAAAGACGTGGATTTTTACTAATCATGAGTTTGTTTAAATTTTAAATCTGATGATCGCGCTTTTGTCTCGACGAAACGTAATGAAATAAACGGTGTTCAAAAATTTTTACTTTACACTTTGATTGAGACCCAGGAAAGATAAGAATATCATAATATTATTTGGGTCAAAGTCGTCGATTTCTTATGGAAAAAACAAAAACTTTTTCTTCTTTCATTTTTCTATCCGTACAAAAAGGTTTTAACATTTTTTACTGGTATGTTAGGAACCACTTTTCGCTTTGGTTATTTATCGGTCGAGATTTTAAGAGCGTATAGCTTTTCTCCTTTAACTGATAATAGTATAATATAATACATCATTGAAAAACTATCATTTTGACCTCAAATGCGGAAGCTTCAAGCTTCCGAGCGGAAACCTCTTCATGAACGGAAGCATGGAAAATTTTTACAAAAAGAGTTCCTCTGGTCTCTTGCTCTAAAGTTCACCGTTTCCAAGAAAAATATCATTTTAGGAACAAAAGCAAACATTTTTCTATTAATAGTTGTAAGGGTGTGAACCACAAATAAATTACATTTTTCACACCCTGTAGTAAAAAAACAAAAGCTCGAGACGTACCTAAGTATGGGAGTAAAAAATTGTTTTGTCCTTCATGAGGAATCTACAGTTTTTCGTTGCGACATTTATTTAAGCCCACCCGGTAAATTTCTTGTCATTTTCAATCAAGAAACCCAATTTAACTTCAAAGGCTTTAGGCATTTCTTTCATTGTTGAATTCAGGGTGAGAAATACCTAGAGAGATCTTTACCATGAAGCAAGTGTTTCAATATATTAAATGATGATAAAAAGTGGTGTCGACTTAGTTCCATTATTTTAATGTTGTTATTTCTACTGCAACATGTTTCGTACTCTCATTAAGGTCATCATCAGACGTTGACGCCAAATGCAAAACTTATTGAAACCACCTCCTAGTAAAAAATGGTCGAAACACTGGCCACCTTCAGGAAATATAAGTAGTTTTAATCCAGTCCCAAACCCGCTAATTGAACAGACCATATCAAGTGTAGTTCTGCTTAGGATTTGGATTTAGGGGCTTTTAACGAAGTTAGTGAATTACTGGTATAAAACGCCCTGTTTTATTTTGGCTGATTGCTAAATCAATGTTTCGAAGTGAAGATTATTAACAAATATTTCGATATCAGGCATGCCATACTAAAGCGGTCACAGCCTTACGAACAAACAAATTTTATGTTTTAACACAACTTCAAACACTTAATTCCGAGAACCCATCGCCCAAAACAGCTACCAGAAAACGGGGCCCAAATGAAGTGGGCCCCCTTCATTTGGACAGTGTCAATATTTTGGCAATGGTATTAAATTTGTACGACTATTAGCCGGGTGCGCATCACCGTTCGGGTAGCGACTACCTAAACCAATAATCCACCGGAAAAGTTAAATATTGACCGGTTAAATTTGTTCACTAAATGGGTTCAGACGCCGGAGGTGTCCTTTTTTGTTCCGCCTCTGTGTCTTGAGGACCGAAATTACAAATCGCTTTTGCAACTGTCCCGTTATAAAGTTACAAGTCGCTTAATTCCATTGTTGGTCCC